CGCAATAAACGGGTGGATAAAAATAATGAATTGTTTAATACGAGGACACCGAAAGGTTAAAAATAATTTTATATTTAGAAACACAAAGCGTAAAATAGAAAAACAAATGTTTATAACGTAAACGAAAATGATGAGACAAACGAGGAGTGCGGGACAAACGTCTACTATATATATTTATAACACTACTATATGTATATAGTAAATCTACTAAATGTATATAATACATTGAATATAAATTAAAAGTTATACTGCTGTGTATTACAGTGGTTGTACAATTATTTTTTGGTACATAAAAACTCGTCTTCAATTCTATAACAAAATTACCCATTTATAAAATAATTTGGTAGATTTGTTTACTCACTCGACAATTAATTTACTATGATGTGTGTTTTCTTTTGATTTGGAGCGTGCCGAGGAATTTATTGGTTTTACTGTGATGTATATCAGTATATGTATATTTATTTATTTATTTGTTCTGTCTGTGAATAACTTTTCTACCAGAAAACTCTCAAGTATAGACTATAGCATCTTTTATAAAAGGTGATTTGATAAAAAGATAGTCGGTGCATTAAAAATGTAATTTGTTAATTTTTAAAGGGATTTTCGAAATAATAATGGAACAAACCGAAAGAAAATTATTGGTAAAACGGCAAATATTTGCCACAGCGTTACCGTTTTAGTTGTTTTCATTGTATTTACACGATATTTTCTACTAGACATATTACTCCAATCGAAAAATGATAAAAGATAGATTTTGTTTCTTTTAACGCATAGCTACTGACGGATAAAGTCATTTTTTATGTCTAAACATTTTTCATAATAATTAGGAAAACTAAAAAAGACGAAATATACGATTTCTTTCAAATTACGGCCAACGATTTCATTATTTTACATTTTTACAGCTTATGTTTTCTACCAGAAATATTGCTCTAATAGAAAAACATCTGGAGATTTGTTTTGTTGAATTTTTAATCTAGTTGGTGATCAAAAAAGTCGATTTTTGATTTTCTTTGTAGTTTTTTAAATAATTGAAAAACACCGAAAAATACGTAGAAAAAACGGGAACATTTACGAAAATAATTCTATTATTTTAAATTTTGTTATTTTAATGTAATTCAGTTGAAAATATTCGTAGAGACTTAAAATGTTTATAGAAAATCTATATTTACTTTTTGTAGACGTAGGGAAACTTTCAGAACATTTGAGTAATATTTGAGCTATAAATAGACATTTTAATTTTTTTACGAGTTGTTTACGTAATTTTTATTTGATAGGGGTACACAATGGATAGATGGTAGATGGACAATGGTAGATAAGACAACAAACGTCGGAAGACGGTCGGCACATTTTATATTATCTACACTATCGTATAAAATTGTAAGGGGTTTTCTACGACCGCGCTAACCGAGAAAACTACTGAACCGATTTAGCTGAAATTTTTTACCGTCATACCCGACACTCTGCTGAAGGTTTTAGTACCACTTTTGTCAATGAAAAATAACTATAAAGTTCTTGAAAAATTAAAAAATTGTATACCTATATTATATACATATTGTGCGGCACGGCGGCCCGCGGGTTTACAGCTACCTGCAACCTGACCTTTTTGTTCGTCAAATTGTATTGTGTTTGATATCGGTGTTATGAATTGTTCCGAGAAAGTTTATCGCACGTACACCAACAACATGTATACCAAATATTCGTATTAATCTATATCTATGTATATATACAAGAATTTCTCAATTCTCTTTCTCCTTCGGGATTTCCTCCTCATAAGCTAAAATTAAAAATTGGTGCTCCAATTACATTATTACGTAATCTTCAACCACCAAAGTTATGTAACGGTACAAGATTATAAATAAAATCGTTGCGAAATAATATTATAGAAGCCGTCATTCTTACAGGGCCANTTGTTAAAGTTTCTTTTGCAATTACGATAAACAAAGCTCAAGGTCAAACATTCAGGTACGTTGGCGTAGATCTTTGATGCTTTTCACATGGACAATTATACGTGGGATTTTCTCGAACTGGGGACCCGAATCATCTTACGATTTTAATTTCAACAGGAGATAAAACAAAAAACGTCATATACTCAAAAGTTTTATAAAATTCTTTATCAACCATAAATTACTCAGCATTTCTTTTGTATTTGTATTCATTTTTAATAAAAATATATTTGTCATTAATCCCGCTAGAAACATTTCAATGCGTTTTCATTAACCGTTTTTTATATTAACTTGCCGATATTATTAAACGATAGAATTTGAATAAAAAATTCTATATATCATCGTCCGAAGGCAAATTAAACAATCAATCACGGGTGAAGCCGTGACGGGTTGGCTAGTATTTTATATTTTGACTCGTAGATAGTGAAAAAAATATGACTTTAAATAATGTTGTTTTAATTTTTAATTGAAAATAACAAACATATATGTAAAATATGGGACAAAACTGGGACAATATGGGGTCTTTTATGCCACGGCCCTGGGTTGAGAATGATACGACGATACTCAAGGACAGCCAGCGTAGGCAAGGTGGAAGATCGGGGTCAAGTGGAAATCAAGGATGAGTGTAGATGACCCCAAATAGTTGGGATGAAGACAAAGGAGAAAAAGATGTAGATACACGTTATTATTACAATATGTTTCACGAAATTATGAAGTTCCTTCAATTTCGGATTCGGGGCTTGAAATAATATTATAAATGATTTAATAATTCTCAATTAACGATATTGGTCGACATCTTTTGATGTTCGTCGCTGAGTATATCTACCTATATATTTTAACAATTATATATTACCTAGTAAAAAAATGACGTCATATAGTATCTACCAAATATATAATATATTGACAACGTATTTATTGGATATTGTAATGATCTACAACAATATTTAACAATACAAATAAATTCTCGGTTAATCTGGACAATATTGCAGGGAAACCTCCAAACCCTTAATTTACTTCAATTTATTAAAATAAAAAAGGTACTTCCAAATTAATAATTTAAATAAGGTGCACCGAGAACTCTTTAAGTACAGGTACCTATCGTTTTAGTTAGGTTCTTGTTAGACGAATAATAATAATTAACCAAAATGTACACATGATATAAAATAAACAATACAATTTTACATTCATGTTATCTTTTGTCGCCCTTATTTTCGGGGGTAAAACCGCTAGCTACTTTTGATTTTAAAGTACAAATCTACATTAAAAAGTGTCCATAAATAGATTTATTATGTTCTCATGGCCAACCGAACGACAAATCCGTACAACGAAATGTTTAAAGTGTTCAAAAATATTAATCCAAATTGAAACCATTATTCTATCATAGATTTAAAAAAAAAAACAGCATTAAAAGCTCGGACTCACAAGACGCGGTCTGTCGCGGCGGTCAGCAATCTGGTGACGCTACACATAATGCGTTTGTTTCATGAGCGGTCTAGTATAAACATTGTATTTTTCACAGTTGTTACGACGATATAATCCAACTGTGGTTGTTATCATATAATTAAAAGTACTTATTATTTTTAATTATTTTGTAATTATACTACTTCAGGCATGTATACAGGGGGGGGGAAGGTTCAACTCTCCTACTCCGGAAAATTAAAAGTTGTGTAATTTATTTACATAAATATAATATTTTTTTTATAATTATTAATAATATTGGTAATATTGATTATTGTAAATTTTTTATGAATCCCACTCCTTGAATTTTTTTTGTGTACAGGCCTGTACTACTTATTATTTATTCACCGTATCAAGTTCTGACGAAGAGCAACTTATTCTATTTGTCCTTCAAAATAAAAGAAAAAAAACAATTTTTTTACTATATTTTCGTAATCTTGATGGAACGTATTAAATATGAACAAATATTTTCTAACTTGTTCGATCAGAATTTCCGTTACTTCCATCATAATATAAATTTAATATAACAATTTCAAAAATTTAAAAACAAATCGCCAGTTGCCCGTGCGGAATTTTTTATACAAATTAATCGCCTGTCGACGTGATCTATATTGTCCCGCCGCAATAGACCGCCCTCTGTGTAACGGGAATAATGCGATATTACTTAATACAACTTTACCGCCTTACCGCCGCGGGAAAATGTCGCAGCCCGTCGCGACGGACCGCGTTCTGTGTGTCCGAGCCTTTAATGATACATTTTCGAAAGTAGGATGGTTCTTTTAATTTTCAACAATGCCTATTGCGGAAAATCCAAGAAAATAGTTTACAGGCGTTATATTCCAAAAATGTTGAATTTTCATTACAAGCACGACATTTGGCAGCTTTGACTTTTGTACCAACAAATACGATTATAAACTATTTTTTAAAAAAATACGAACATACTTTGCACGTGGATGTAGTTACTGTTGTAGAAGGGATGTTGGGAAGATAGGATACAGGCGGGAGTTTAATGTGTATCTGTATAAGCAACGATAAACCGTTCTGAGCGGAGTTTAGTTGATAGTGTTGCTTTATCAACAATATATACGTCATATTATTATAAAATAATAACCCGGACGCAATTCGGAAGGAATTGTTGCTGCGAATCGCAATTCGTATACAGCCATAAATTCTCATTACCTACCTAGATAAAATTGCCAATACACGAACCCCATTCGGAAAATAATATGCAATGCGCATAGATAATACACAGTCTTTTGAAAAACGAACGAATAAAACTTTAAGGTGTTTAAATAATAAGACGGGCAGTCGGAGACGGCTGTTTAAAAATACAAAATCATTTATTCTATATGTCGTTAATGTTTACCACGGGACGCGACGGTGAGGATGTCTGGTGAGTGGTGGTGGCCGGTGGGTCTTGTTGCACGGATATCTTCTATGGTCGTGGCGTTGGTGGCGCGGGAGGTGGTGGCGAGCGGCGTAATCGTGCGTCGACGACAATGACGACGACGCCGTCGCTGCCACCGTTATCTCGACACCGCGGGCTGCACCGACGGCGTCGGCCAATCGTCAGGCTCGGTTACACTCGGGTGTTTACGACCGCCACTACCACCACCACCACCACCACTACCGCCGCCGCCACCAAGTACCAACAAGGATTAAAGAGTCGCACTCGCTCTCGTAGCGTCGCACTTCGCCATTCGGTATTCACCGAATTTTGTTTTTTTTTTCTTGTATGTCCGCGTCCGCAATCAAGTATAAACCGACGACGACGACGTCGAATCCGCGTATTATATTATATTATTTTGTCAACGCGCCGTCTTCACTCTTCCGTCTTATTTGTCTATGCTTACGATTTTGGACTCGTCTCACCCGGCTCCATCGCCTTATAGGTATAGTTTTTCGAAACAATTTTTTTCTACATCGGCTACTAAGATTTTGGTCGTCTCGCACACGCACCTATTTCGGAGCGATTAGCGTTCAGCGGTCGTCATGTCGCTGGCGGAGCTGTGAAAATCCGTAATATTCGTTGGGTACTTATCGCAGCCGTAATCACCATGTATCGGTGCGCCGCCTTCCAACGGAGGCTCCTGTTATTCGGCTGCTACCTTACACTGTTGCTGTTCTTAATCGTACCCGTCCGAAGTGAGTGGTAATCAGTAAATGACAAACGTGGGACTTAGAGTCCCAAGAGGTATCTTTATTCCCTTCCTAACCCAATGGTTTTTATCAGCACTTATCTTAACAGTTTTTTTTGTTATATACTTTGATACCGTATTTATTTGAGTGTTTACCATTGTACCTATTGTCTGCCCCTTCACTACCTACTGTTACGACTGTACCAATGTCTGACCGTTTAGCTAGTTCATAACAATTTGTCCAATTATTAAAACTTTCGTTCAGTCTTTTCAGTTGAAGTCTAGCTCTTGGGGTAAAAAAAAAAAAAAAAACACCATATTTTTCCTTATTCTTATCTTGCCAACGTTCTGTTGTCAGAATTTCTATTTTCTACATTTTTTCGAAAATATGCGAGACTAAGATTTTGTCGAAAAGGATCAAACATTGAAAAATCAAAATTTTGACTGACATTGTTTTAGGTCACTATATACGAATAAGAAACCACTATAGCGTTTTATGAATTTTTCAGTTTTGATGCCAAAAATTAGATAATTGCAGTGAATGGTCGACATTTGTTTAAGTCTACATATTCAGCTCTAAATAGTAGGTAGATAGGTAGGTATAGCACAGTAGGAGTTGGGATTGTGGGTCGTTTGTTTCTAATATTTTTTGATGACATATCTAGTGACAATACAACCAATTGAACTCTCTTTAAACTTTCATAACATTGTAGTATTGTACCTACCTATTTAGGTAAAGATAACATTATACATATTATTGGATACTTAGGTAGGATCTATAAAAATAATATTACAAATATTATTTAATAATGGGTAATGAATTATTAAGTACTATTTGGTATTAGGTATTGGTACTGGTTTCATATTGCATTACTAATGTTTTACTAATGAAAAATACATAAGTAACAGATATTTATATTTTGACTTATTTGAATTATAGGTAGTGTACGATTTATTATCGAACCTAGTGATTTCATTACGACTGCCGGCAAAACTATACGTTTAGATTGTGAAGCAAAATTTGATAGTGTTGTCACATTACCACAAATCAGATGGAGGTTTCCTGATGGACAATATTTTGATTTCATTGGAGATACAAGAAGGTATCTAAATGCAGCTAGTTAATATAGAATTAGATTAATCTAGTATTTATTTTCTCTATGATTTATGATCTAAATTGAGTAGGTATTTATTTCTTTAGAAAATAAATTAGAATGGATTTTAATTAAAATTGATAATTTCTTAACACAAATAAAATAATTTTATACTAATTTTGTTGTATTAAAATATAGTTAGCTCTACTATTTAAACATTTTATTTTATTTTACACATATTTGATTATTTTTAACAAATTTTTATCAAAAACTTTGTTCAGATTTCAACTGCAGCATTTTTTTTGAAAGAAAATCTGACTGGGGTAGTACTTTAAGGATGCCATTTTTCGATTTTCTCAGGGGTTTCATAATAAATATTGAAAAAAAAGGAAAGTTTATGAAAAGTATTATTTCTAATTATAAATAGGTGTACAGTCTTTCAAAACATGTATAACCAAACTCCTCTCAGAATTGTGTTCTGTTAGCAATGATTATTTATTGTGTACAGATATACATTCTTCTCTACCTTCCCAACTTCTCACTGATAACAGTGACTTACCCATCATGCGAAATATGTCCATTTTTTTTTTTATATTTGTTGTCTGTTTACTTTTTTAGTCCTGCTTACAGTTCAAATATGATTGAAAAACTGAGCCTTATTTTAAGAATATTATTTATATTTTATGTATTAAAAAATATTATTTCAGATCTATTTTACAAAATGGTTCTTTATTAATTAAAAACATATTCATTGATGATGAAAAAGATAATTCTGATGGTTTTGAAGCATATCAGTGTGTGGCGTTTGTTGATAATTTCGGCTCAGCTGTAAGCCGTATAGCAACTATAACTCTTGCACGTATGTACATTTTATGACTTTTTAGATTATCTGTTTATTATTATTAATTTGTTTAACAGGTTTATCACCGTTTGAAAAACAACCAACCAATCTTCGACTGTTTCCTGGACAAACTGCACATTTCTCTTGTGTAATAAATTCACAACCACCGCCTAAAATTGTTTGGCTCAAAGACCATACACCATTAATAATAGATGCTCGTATGACAATATTTCCATCAGGTAAGATCATTCCCATAATACGTAAGAATAATACTGTATAACATAATTTTGTAATTAAACATAGAATAATTATAATTCATGGAATTTATATTGATTAAATACAGTAAATAAAAATAAAAATAATTAAAAATGTATATATAAAAATATAAAATAAATAAATAAATAAATGTGTCTGGAGTATTGATGAAGTATATTATATGGTTTGGAATTAAAAATTCATCACCAGGTATATACCTGGTATATCATAGTCAAAATTTAAAATGTTGTCATATAATACACTTATTATAATACTCCAGACATTGATTAATTAATTATTTTTTTATTTTTATATATACATTTTTTAATCATATATTTATTTATGAGTATTAACCATTTTAATAATTTTGTTTTTACTTTATTATTTTATTATTTATATTAATTATAAATTGATAGATTATGCATCCCAAATTTAGTAATCCAACATTTATTAAAATTGACTACAATGTTTACAAAGATACTTAAAATATATTTATAGTCACTTATTTCTTTGCATTGTATAATTTTCACTTTTTGATTTAAATCAAACAATTTTCATTGTAGAGGAGGTGACACTGGAAAGAAAAAATAATGCATTCTGAATAAACATAATGGAAAAACGATTTCTGGTAAAAATAGGATAATAGAATATAATATTTATCTATATGGTCAACAGTTCAGCATGTCACATGTTATGAAAATCTTATTCTCAGTTTCTCTCCTATTACTCTAGCATAAGTTGGTTATTTTTAAGTTTTTTTTTATTAAATACATTTGTAAAAAATTCACACACTGATAGGTGTTGTTTTTAAGTTAATCTACCTAAAGTTTTTCTTTAAGGGCAGTTTTTATTTCTTCCAGTTAAGTACACAAGTACAGGGTCAGTTATTTTTATGTTCACTCTGGTGTGTGTGCAGTAGCGCTCAATACTTTTCATGTATGTATACACAGCAGTATTGGGAAGGAATGTGTTATTTTAAGACAATATAGGAAGAGCTTAACCTAACTATTTATTTTATATTAATCCGGATTCCCAACACCACATATTAATCACCCAATCAATATTTTAATGTCTCATGGCAACAATTTTTTAATGGTCATAATTTATTTAAGTAAATTATATTTCCTTAATTGTATTAACTTATATTTCATTGTTTATTCTCTATATAATTACATATTATATATGATTATTATATATATTATTCTGGTTATTCTTGTAAATTGTTATCTATTGATTAAGCTCATTAACATTAAAATTGTTACTTTATTCATAAATGTACTTGAAATTAGACAATTTGTCTGTAAATAAATATATTGACTACACAATAAATGGGTTTCAGTGATATAAAAATAATTAGAGGAAAGGGGTAAAATTAATTGATAATGGGTTTTATTGTGAACTTGTACATTATCATGCCAATGAATTATAAAATTATATGAGGTCTGTTTCAAAAGTATAAAACTTTCATCTGTTGTTGTGCACTAGTCTTATTTATCGGCACACTCTCACTGGTGCTTGCATACCCTCTTAGATCATATACAATGGATGGAGTCCCAGATCACAGCATATTTATCACAATGCCTTAATATGATGTGATAAATATTGAATAACTGATGAGATATGTGATAGTAATAATATACAATTTAATTCATTAAAACTTGAATTTATTGAAATGGTAAACTGAAATCTTTATAAAGTACCTATAATACATTATAGAGAAGATCAAATATTTATGTCGATAATTTATCGGAAAAATATCCGATTAGTCTATTAGACTATGTACACTAAAGGCTGCTTACCTGTGTAGCCCAACATAAGGATTTAGACTTAGAGAAAAAACATTAAAATGAAGTTTAAATAGAGTTGAAATAAAGTTTTAACAAATAATTAATATTTACACACAAAAATATTAAAAGTTCATTAATAAATCTACTACAAAAATATTCTATCGCCTATTAATTTGAACAACAAAAATATACTAGTACAATAATTAAATTCACAAATAAATACAAGTCTAAATAACAAATAATAGAGTGATGCAAAATTGCTGTGCAAAATCGTGGTGGATTCATCTGATTTGACGGTGTTCAGGTGACTTTATGCATGCTCAGGATGTGCCCCAGCAACTCGTTACCCCTAGTTGCTCTGTACGGTTATCTATACCCTGTGTGTGTATGAACATAAGCTTTTGTTAATGACCCAATTTTTACAATTATAATCTATATATTATATTTGGGTAAATATTTTTACTTATAAAGTTATTTTACAAGTTGCACACTTAATCTGCTCTGGGTACTCTTACTTTTATTATCCTTTCGGAATTTGTTTCAGTTCCCTATGTAGTACTGGCCTTTCTACTATGGGCTCATCCGTTTATACATATATCATAAGCGTAACATCTGTATATCATTAATATTATATATAATTTTAAGGCTGTGGCTCTACCCATTGTATATGATCAAAGCATTGGAAGCAATTATTATAGAAGTCAGTTTTTACAATACACCTCAGTGCACTGGATACATTTGTTTGAATAATCTTTGTGTCATCACACCATCACGATGTCCTTTGAGCAGAATTCTTAATCTTGGGAACCACTAAAAGTCATTAAAAGGATCACTATTCAAAATATAGGTGATAAAATATAGATATTTTTCCCATCATCCCATCATTTTACCTTTTTTTTTTTTTGTAATCTGTACCTTGTTATTTATTTGTTTACAAATTCACTGTATGTCAGTGCTGTTTTTTATTAAATTCTACCAATGAAAACTAAATACAAATATATATAACAGTGGTTTTCAAACTTTTTGACCCCGACACACTTTGCTTTTCACAACATTTTCACAGTATACTGTAACCTTTTCTTTGTCATTGTTTAATTTTCCCACAAAATTAGAACTAATAATAAAATTGATAAGTCATACTCAAATGAATCATTATCAAAAGAGTTAAAACTTAATACTTAACAAGCTGATCACCATAACTGGTGGTCTATTACAATTTAAGGAAAACAAATTTCAAAAGACACATTTAAGGTAATGCTCACTCAGATAGAATATATTATAAAATTTGGATCAATTGTAATTAAAATTAATTAATTACATAATATATTTATTAAACAATATATTTCAGGAGCTTTAGAAATTGATGATGTCCACAAAGGTGATAATGGTGCCTATCGATGTAATGTTACTGGATTGGATAGGCATAGATTAAGTGATCCAGGAGTTTTGACAATAGATGAAAATGAAGGTTGTTATTTTTTTACACTATAGCATACATTTATAAAAGTAGAATGAGTTAAATTAAATTAAAATTTATTGTTAATTTAATTTAAAATTATTTAGAAAATATTAAACGATTGAAAGCTCCAGAATTTGTTGCCAAACCTCATTCATCTGTAGCTCTGGAAGGAGCAGTTGTCACTCTAGATTGTGCGGCTGTTGGGAATCCACGACCTCAGATTTCTTGGTTAAAAGATGGAACATTAATAGATGTAGCGTAAGTATTATCTAATCATATAATGTATATACATATATAATAATAATAATAACCATCTTTACTAACAAAAATTACTTTCCAATTATATTTTCAGCAATAGTAAATAATATTTACAGTTTTTGTGTCTTAATTAATTATTAAGAATATAATATATAATACAATTTGCAACTGTTTATATAATTTATGTATAAATAATATTCATGTGAAGATTGATGTATAATTTTTTTGTAAATGTGATTGTATGAGTGTATATAAATGTTTATTTAAATATTTTATGAAATAAGTTTAAAACAAAATCTGCTTGTTTAATATTGATACATTGTTTTATCATCAAAGGCATTGTATGAAGAGTTTAATTCTTAACCAATTTTTACATTATTTGGATAGAATTTTGTTTCCTCTTGGGTATTAAAGCTAACTTTAAAGTTAATTTTTTCTAATAATTCTGGGCAGTTAATTAGGTTGTATAATAATTTGAATACAAATTCTAATTTATCCTTTGGAAATACTTTTTCTAATGTGGATATTTTGAAAAATTCTTACATCGGAGGTGATATTTACTCAATTAAAAATTACATTTTTATATTTAACAAATTGTTAACTGAGTATTTCAGAAATTGTGCTGTTGGTTGATGAGTATTTTTTTGCAATGGTATTATTTACAAGTTTTGGGAATATTTTTGAGGTAGATCATAGTTAATTATTTCATTTCTATTTTCTTTTTTTAAAAATTAAAGATATTTGTGATAATTTTCAATCATCTGAATAAAAACTGGTACTTAGTAACAGTGTTGTTAAAAAAATCTTTTACTGGAACTGATTCATTTTTAGATTAACCATTTGAGGAATTGATTTGATTTAATTATATTTTAAAGGAATAGGACCATGAATTTGGTTTTTATTTTTAGGAATTGGTTCATAAATATTGTAATATCTTGTTTTTTTTGGAAATATGTTTAAACATATCTGGGGAAAAAAATGTTGTTAATAAATAACTTTATAAAATTTCAATTGAATAAACGACATGTTAATTTGACATTCAAAAATTGATCTATTTTAATTAGTGAACACAAATGGAGAGGTAGAAGATGATTTAGATGTAATTGCAAAACATGATGTAGATGAAATTATTCAATTTTTAGAGTTAGAGTTAGAGTTTCTGCAGTGAGAAAAAAATGTTTATGGTTACTTACTACTAACACTGTATGCACTGCAGATTAAATTGCTGCATTAAAAAAAAATATTGTGAAGAACTAATAAATTACATTAAAAAAATTAGTTTAGGATGTGTAATAAAATAATTATAAAGTTTCTAGATTCGCCTTTTTTTTTTATTAAGAAAATTAACAATCTATGCTACATGCACAAAAAGAGATTTCACAGTGTCAAACTATGGAGGTGACTTTTGTGGGGTACAAAGCCAAATTTGTTGCTATTTAAACCACTCTCCTATCATTAAATCCGAAAAAATCAGAAGGGAGGGTACTTTTAATATGAAATGCCCCTAAAAGCCCTATATATAATAGTGAAGATTACATTAACTTATGTTGAAAAACAAGCAAGATAGATTTCAAAGGAAAAAAAAAACATCCACCTGCTGGTGTTGGACATAATATTTTTATTATTCACATTCACATATAATTATATATATTTATGTTAATAAATTATTGATAGAAAATAACAATATGATTATGAAGAGAATTACAATTTTAATTAGAATACTTAAATTAATTATTTATTACTTCTTATAGATATCTGGATAGTCGGTTTAGCATAGTTGGTACTGGTGGCTTACAAATAACACAAGTGAATAAAAATGATGATGGTAATTATGTTTGTCGAGCAGAAAATCATGAAGATTCTGTAGATGCTTCTGCTACATTAGAGGTTCACAGTAAGTATATTTTTTTTTAAAGATTTTGCTAAAATGATTGAAACTAACTGCATCACAACGTATTGTAGGCAAAATTAACTCCGTTTCATACATACAATAGATTGTAAAATTTCAGTAGTAATATGCTGTTAACCACTGAATAATATAAAATGTTACTATTTGAAAGTTAAATAAAAAAAAGCACAAACAAAATTTGGTACATCAAATTTGTTACTGTATGTTAGGCCACTAATCAATCTTTGAATTTTGGGTTCCATATTTTGTTTCATACTACCTTTCTTTTTGGAATTTCAGATATGAGAAAATCCATTTTTTATGTACACAAAATACAAATTTTATAAAAATTTAATTATATTATAAATAAAAATAAATATTAAAAAATAGAGCATGTTCTACATTAAAAATAGAGGACATTTCCTTACTTAGCAACAGTTTATTTTATTTGAGTGATTCAGTTAGAGCATAGTCTTAGATATAACAAAATTATCTTTTGCAAATCTTATTTTATCACTGTTATTGTTAGTTAGGACAATATTATCTTAGTATTGAATATATAAATTTATTTTTTATTTATCATTACAGTTATACCACAATTCATTAGAAAACCTAAAGATACAATGGTTCTTGAAAAAGAAGATATAACATTGGAATGTGATGTGATTGGTAAACCTTCTCCACGAGTTACTTGGTTAAAAAATGGAGATAGAATTAAGCAAGATGAATACTTACAATTTGTTAATGGGTGAGTATTTATTTATATTTATGTATTGTAACACAAGTATATTAGTTTAGTTTGGTTTAAAATAGTTCCATCAGTGTTCATTAATTATTTTCGGTATAAAATTAAAAATAAATAATAATTATAATTATTATTTTTTTTTCAGGAACAATTTAAAAATATTAGGTTTAATGACTATGGATTCTGGAATGTTCCAGTGTTTGGCATCTAACCCTGCTGGAAATATTCAGTCTTCAGCATTTTTAAATGTTTTTCATGCAGGTAAATAAACAGTTATTTTCTTTTTATTTAAAATAAAATGATGATTTAAAGGGTGCAATTTTGTAGTTTAATATTTGTTTTGTGTTTGTAGTGTAATTCACTTGCATCAGTAAGAAATGTATGTTTTATTAAACAATTTACATTAGTTTTTTGATACCTAATAAATTGTTTTATTATTCATTTTATAATTATATTTAGTATACTACTAATATCTCATGTTCATACTACTTTTAAGTAATTAAATTAAATATCATTAACTACATTTAATTTTGATAGCATAGTACACAGATTTTATAAGTGCAGTCATAACATTTGTGTTACACTTTCTTTAAAAAATTATGAGAAATTAGGAATAAAAATTATTGTTCTATAGAGTAGAACAATGACTTGTATTTAAACGTCCATTTTTTTAAATTCATTGCAAAGAACAAAATTGACCAACTTGATTGCCCTTCCTCTTTTCATTACAATTTATTGTATTAAAAGTTAAAAAAAAAAAACTAACATAATAAATGTGCTGGCAATATTTAATTAAAATAGCTATACTACAGATTAAAAACAGTGTATAAAAATCACTTAAAACATAAATATTATGTAACCATATTACCACAATAATTATCAAATACAAATGTCATAAAATCACATGCAACATTTGACAATTACTGATCTTAGATAAAAAAACATTGACCTCTAACAATTTGAATATGTACTCTAAACTATAACATTTGTTCACAATGTGCAAAGTGATATTGGCAACAAACTTATGTATATATCTAACTCATTTTACCAAAATTTGTTACTTACAACATCTGTGTGCTATGTCATCAAACTTTATTATTCAGTTAAATAAATTAAACAAAATGAAAATAGTGTAAGTTGTATGATTTAAAAATGATAGCGTCCTGCACTTTAAAATGTTTTTTTTTTGTATACTTAATAGTGTTAAGTAGTTTGATATTTTTATTTCAATTTTTTAGAATCCAAAGGTATGATTGAATTATATTATTGCTTTATTCATGTATGGATGTTTTATTTTTAAATACAATTTAATTCTTCACAATGGATGGATGGGCCACTGTTGTAGATGAGAAGTTGGGAAAGTAAGATATAGAGGGGAATTTAATATATATATCTTACTGGATTCTGAGTGGAATTGAGTTACACATATTAAAAAACATATTATTTAAGAATGATTTTAGTATATTGTTTGTCTCTAAACTTATATTTATTTCTCATATCCTATTAGTTAAGAAAAAAGCTCTTTCTATATTTGGTATGGTCAACTGCTCTGAATTCCTTTTAACCCTTTACATTTAAACAATGAAACATCTCTTTCATTCAATCTCAACGAGAGTATATAACTATAATCTGGGTTATTGATGGTATAGGACACAGTATTGATATTAAAATAATTCAAAACAAAATTCTCCAATTTATTTGCTTCAAATGTAATATACCAATATAACAATATTTAAAATTTTCTAAATTTGTAATCCTTAAAAGTAGAAGATACTATAAAACTACTATGTTTCTTTTCTTAATAAATAAATTAATAACAATATTGAAGACTCTTTCATACTTAGTATTATCAACTTTATATTCAATCCTCATAATACTCATAACAGAAATCTATTTTATATTCTTCAACAAAATAAAAATTATTTATCTTGCTCACATTTAAATATTTTAATATCAACTGGTAATAACCTTACCAATGAAATTATTTGTTTAATATTTTTGTTTTTTTTTTTCTTTTATGTTATAACACATATAAAACATATAAATTGTTATGTATCACAATTGTAAGTTTATGTACCTGCTACTCATATTACTATTGTAATTTTATTGTAATTGGATATTTAATATTTAATAAATAAATATTATTAAAATTCTTTTAAAACTCAAATTTTACATTACATTACATACATTTTTTTTTTACCACCAAGTAAAAGGTTCATTATAAGTCCTAACTTATAATGAACCTCCTATAAAATTGTCTAGTATTTCTTTTTGGTCAAATCATTTTATCCACAAAACATCTACCAAATAAAAATATGTAAAAACTTGCAAAATTGAAATGTTTATAAACAGCCTCAAAAATGGCTCTCTTATAATTTTAAAAAAATGTGTAGATAAGGCAAATATAAGTTTTTGTCAAAATTTCACTACAAATATTTTTGATTGAATCAACAAAAACCAAAAATAATATATTTTATACATTTTCCCTGTTTTTTTGTGGTTTTTCTAAATTATTATTTAATGCATTCCTTACTTCTCTCAGAATCTAAAATCTAAGTGTGATACTAGTTATGAATCTACTAATATTATGCAAAATGATAATAGATTTTACACTCAAGGATTTAATGGATATTAAACTGGCAAGAGATTTTTGGTGTTTTTATTATATTTCGAAACATCAAGATATCTAACAGAATATGTTGACAATTGTATCATAATATTATGATAATATAATAATATAGATATTCAGTGAAAATGTCATAAATTAAGATTACTTTATCAATCAATTAAAAAAAAACAAAATTCCCCTTGTCTGAAGTTTTTTTAATTGTTTTCCATTGTGAAGAAAAGTACAAGAAAAAAAAGAATGACTTCTTTAATGAACTAACTAAACAAATTTTGGAACCAAAAACTATCCCTGTTATTAAAAATTGGAGCAAGAGTCTTCTGATTAAAAATGTATTTATAGACAAAAAATAAAAAGTACACATTATAAAATAAAAATATTCCTTTGTTCATTCAAAATCTAAAAAGTCAATAAATAATAGTAATATAATTTTAATTGTTAAAATAACAATTTTTTCAGCTTGGTTTTATTTTGTTTTTGTAGTAATTCATTTATTTTTGTTTGCGTTTGTTATGTTTTGCTTTTATAAACAGACACTTTACCTAGTTCAAACAGTTCTACAAATATTAGTACTGATATCATCAACTCATTCCCTGTAGCTGAAAAACCCAAGGATTTAAAAAATAATTTACCATCACCACCAAGAGCATTAGAAGCAAGATCTGTCTTATCTAGGATGGCCACTTTAACTTGGAATACTCCAGTGAAACCAAATGGTGAAATTCAAACCTACACAATATTTTATCAACAAGAAGGATCTGACAGGTTGGTTTCCTTGTTTAGTTTTTGAGATCTTATTTTATTATTATTAAATGTGTATTGTTATATATTTTAGAGAACGTATGACAAATACATCACAAACTGATATTACTATTACTGGGCTGATACCAGATAAACACTATCTTTTTAGAGTAGTAGCAGTAAATGTATATGGTATTGGTGAAAGTTCACCTCGTTTAAAAGTTATGACTAAAGCTGAAATTAATTTACCTGGACCACCATTGAATGTAACTACTAAAGCAACTTCACCTTCATCAATACTTGTTTCTTGGTCTAGACCAGATCAGGGAAGTGAGAATATTAAAGAATACAAGTTATTTTTTATGAAGGTAATATAATACAAATTAATTTTGTTATTATTTAACTATGTCTAAATAACTATAATTTTACCAGGATTCAACAACTGAAGAACAATTTGTTGTAACTAAACATACAGAGCATGAGATCAGAAATTTGAATTCGTATACTAAGTATAAAATTTGGGTAGTTGCATATAATCAAAATGGCCCTGGGATGAACTCATTAGAAGTAATTTCACTAACTAAGCCTTCAGTTCCAACTCAACCTCCACAGAATATTGCTGTTGAAGCTGCTTCTTCCACAGTAAACTATTGAAATATTATCAATAAAATCAAAATTTAGCTAAAATTATTAAATTTATTTAGGAAATTTGTATCAGATGGGAGCAACCACCAATATCTAGTCAAAATGGTGTTATAACTGGTTATAAAATACGGTATAGAAAACAGGATAAAAAATCATCTGGTGAAACTATAACTACAGCTGGTGGTCACACAGAATATCAAATATCTGGTTTAGATAAAAGTTCTGTAAGTAAAATTTAATTAGTTTGATGGTTTTAAAGATCTTATTTGATATTTTTTATTTTGTACTCTTGTTCATAAAAATATAACACTTTAAATACTTAGATATGGACATTTAATATTTGAAATTAATCTTTATTAAATTTTACAATCAGTTGTTTTTAGTAATCATAATAAGGTTATAAAAAATAAAAATGGCTGATACACACATCTTTAAATTAGATTTTTATTTTACTGCATTGATTTTAATTTAATATAATTAAAATAAAATTACATTTATCAAAATGGACACAAAAGTTATTATTTCAAACAATCAATAACTTTGTGGGTGTTAAATTATAGCTTCTTAATGTTTATATATTTTGTATATTAAATATTTTATATACATTTTAAATGATTATGATTAATATGTTAATATTTATTTAGCTAAAAAAAATAGAAATACATCTTAACATTAATAGTTTAAATGGTTATTGTTAAATAAAATATAAATTAAACATGTATGAAAATTAATAAGAATTTAAATTTAACAATCAGACTTCTAGCTTTTTTTTTTTTTTTAATTAAAATTATATTTTATTTAATGAGAGTTACAATTTTTAAATAATTTATCCATCTTTTTTTAGCTGGAGCTTGTGGTGAAGGCAGAGAGTTAAAATAATTACATAATTATATCATATTAAAAAAAAGAGAGAACTTTAAATTAATTATATATAAGAAAAAAAAAATGTGTATACAATTTTATAGAATAGAAAAAAAGATTTGTGTTATTACATAGATTACATTAGGTTTACTAATTATATATTCTTCATAGTTATTAGACACAGGTTGAAAATAACCATTCAAGTATATTTTTATTAACATTTAAAATATTCTTTAAATAAATGTTCGTTTTTAAATTTAAAGAAGTTATAATAAGTTGATGCAAGATAGTACATTATAAACATTTTGTATAAAAAGATTTCATAAAATAAAAAACTAAATAAATTTCTTTTATTGCCATTTTATATACCCAGTCATTTAAATTTTTTATCAACTCTTACAGCCATTTTCTTAAATAGTAATTTAAATGGTAGAAAATTAAATATTTTAAAATTGTTAACTTTAGAGCTATCTAACCTACCTTTTCTCAGACATATATGTACAATATGCTTTTTCTGATTTACTAAAGGATATATAGTATTTTCTCATTTAGGTCTCCCCAGATTAGCAAATCATATTGAAATATAACTAATGTATTAACATGTAGATTCCAATGCAAGTTTTTATAAGTTTTTAAATTAAATCTAGATAACTAATACTGGAAACTCATGATATATTTTGACACTGAGTAACCTTACTGGTATATTGTTTTCATAAAAATAAAGAGATATAAATATAAATAAATAAAAATATAAAATCATCTAAATGCTTATTAAATTGTAAAATCATAAAATTCATGAACATAATTTTATTTTATAGTTGTTAACTTCTTATGTTTTAAATGTTTAATAACTTTTTGTCTCAATAGTTGCTTTTTTCTAATATTAGCCCATAATCAAAGAATTATCTAAGAAAATTAAATATGTGTTATCTGCATAGATTGTAATTGTTCATCAATATCAAGGTTACATTAACTATCAATGTACAGAATGATTAAAAGTGGACCTAAAACACTACCCTGTGGTACTCCACAATTTAATTAATACAAGGAACACATTTATTTTGAATACTTGGTTCAATTTGTCAAATAATTATTAAACTGAATGCCAAAATATAATATTCATTTATTTTGCATGATTCACAGTATCAAAAGCCTTTACTAGATCTAAAAAAATTACTAAAAGTTTTTTTCCTTCATCACTGACTTTGTTAATACATTTAGTAGTACTATATAATAAGTCTTCAGTTCCCAAACCTGGTTTAAAACCAAACTGATTATAGGATAGTAATTTTTTTTCCAAGTAATTGAAAAGTTGCCCAGTATAGGTCTATAATTATTTACATATAATTTATCTTTTAAAAAATGGTTTAATAACTGCTAATTTCCATACATTAGGAAAGGTATGGTTTTAAACTTAAATTCATAATTTAAGTTAAGAGATCTATTATATATCCTAAAACATGTTAAAAATGTTTAGCTGTACATTTTCCTGTAACTTTATTATCATTTTAAAAACTTTGAGATTTTTCAATGTAAGCATTGAAGCAATTTTTAAATACATTTGGAGTGAGTACTTCTTGTTTGTGATTATTTGAATCAATAACTTGGGAAAGATTTCGACCTATATTAATAAAAAAATCATTAAACATGTTTGACACTATGAGAATTATTATTAGTTTGTATGATATTAGTATTAATTTTAATTGCTTTAATTTTATCCTTTATGGAATTTTTATTTCTGTCTAACATTTCAATAATTACCTTCCACATTAATTTTAGACTGTGGAAGACATCTACAAATTAATTTTTATAATATTCAATTTAAGACTTTCTCAGGATTCTCCTAAAGTTATTTTTGTATTTATTATAGTAAGGATTATTTTAAAATTATAAGGGCAACAGTAATATTGTTTCTTTTATCAGTAAATAAGCCAACAAAGACATTTACATCATCAATATTATAGAATTCCTGCTAAGATTTTTTTTTTGAATAATTCCTTTAGTTTAATATAGTAAACATTTCAATATTATGTACATAATGAAAAAATGGTCAGTTATACATGTTTGAATTACTCCCTGTTTTATTTTATTGTTTTGATTATTTATCTCTAATACAAATGTTATCTAAACATGAGTGTTTCACTGGGGTTCTTGTAAAAACATTTATAAATTACCTAAAATCATCTTTGGAAAGCATATCTCAATACTTATGATCAGTATAATCAACTCCTACAATGTTCAAATTTGTGTCCCCAATAATCACAATCAATCCATTTTCATTTAAAATAATATTCTTTAAACTGGTAAAAAATATATTTGTAAATGTTCTTTTACATAAACCATAACTCTTACATGTTTATGTCTTTTAAATTTTGAATAATATATATTATAACCAGGAATAGCATTACAACAATAAACATCATGTCATGTTTCAGTTAATATTAGAGCCTTTAAATTTTTGCAATATAGGTACATTAATTTCTAGTGACAACAATAACTCATCGAAGTGAGCATTTACACTTATTGTTTTACAGCTAATTACATTAAAAGATTTAGTGGGATTACAATTTTGTAGAAATTCTGTTATATTATAGAAATAATCTAATAAGTTATTAAAAATATTCAATAACTCCATTTAAAACTAAATTAAAGAACTACAAAAGGTTTATATAAAAAAAAAAAAATAATAATAATATCACTAAATAGAGCAAAAAAGAGAGAAGTAAACAACAAAAAAGAAAAAATAGGTTACTTAAGTAAGTACTTAAGGTTTCTAGGTATTTTACAAATCAGAATATCATAAATAACAAAAGAATGCAAGCTTCTTCATTCTTTTAATATAAATTGTATAGTCTTTAAACCATATAAACTTATAGCCTTTATCTTTTGCAAACATTGGTGTTTTATAAAATAGTTCATTATTATACTTAGTAATATGTAAGATGTATTCACCAGGTATTCAAAATACTTGTTTCTCCCTAATTTTCACTGACAGAACTAGCTCTTATTTTATTTTTTTATTTTTTTTATGATGATTCCATTATTTTTTTTTTTTTGCTTATATTCAAAATATGGTTTGTAATTTATTTTTAATTTTAACAATAACTGTACTATTTAAATATTTAAATTTTTAGATTTATCAGGTTCGTTTATGGACTTTAAACACTGTTGGGTCTAGTCCACCATCAGAATGGTTTACAGTACAAACATTTGACAATAACCTAAGAGAAAATACTATTCCTAATGAACCCACGAATATTAAAGGTTTGTTTTAAAATTATATTATTTATTATGTTTCTATATTTTTATTTTTAATAATTTAATATTTTTAAACAGTTCGAGCATTTGGAAATTCATTATTTGTAACATGGTCTCCACCAAAAGACAAATCCATAATTGTACGGGAGTATACACTAGGATGGGGTAAAGGTATTCCTGATGTGTATGTTGAAAAATTGAGTGCAAAAACACGGCAATATGAAATCAAAAATTTAGGTAATTAATAATTATTATTTATTATACACATTTTTTATTTGTTATAAAACATTTTTTTTTTTTACATATATTTTTAGAACAAAATGCAGATTATATACTAACTCTTGCTGCTGTCAATGATATGGGTGTAAGTCCATTAGTATATAAAATTGCTACTATAAGAGAGCAAAATATTATGAATACATTGGAAACATCAAATCCCATGTTACCACCAGTTGGTTTAAAAACCAACATTATTTCTTCCAATGCAATTGAAGTTTCATGGACAGACAATTCACTTTTAGATTTAGAAGTAATACATTGCATGATTTTTTTTTTTTTTGTTTCAGTGATTAGTTGACAAATTATTTAACAATTTGTAATTACAGATGAATGTGGAAGATGAACGTCTTTACCTTGTAAGGTACAATGCTTATTCTCCTAACAATATTAAGTACAAATATGTTAATACCACTGATCTTTCCTGCATTATAAATGAATTAAAACCTAACACCCAATATGAGTTTACTGTAAAAATAATTAAGGTGAATTTTTATTCTTCAGTATATAACACTATAATTATTCTAGTCTTACATATTTTTAAAAAATAAATAAATTATAGGGTAAATATGAGAGTGCATGGAGCTTAATTGTGATGAATAATACTAATGAAGCTAAACCTGCATCACCACCTAGAGATTTGACTGCTGTAAAAAGTGATGACAAGCCTCAATCAATCACATTAAATTGGCAACCACCAAAATTTTCAAATGGACAAATTATCGGTGAATACTTTTTGAAAACTATTTTCTTAATGATTGTTTTTAATCAATATTATTACAATCCCTTTAGCATATTTAATTTTGTATACAACTGATGATACTAGTCCAGATAGTAATTGGATATCTGAAATAGTTGATGGAGAACTCATGTCATTCACAATTAAAGGACTGACACCTAATATTAATTATTTTTTTAAAATCCAGGCCAAGAATTCTGCTGGTTATGGCCCATTTAGTCCAAATATAAGTTTCAAAACCTTACCAGGTATTATTAAATTATAATTTATGATTGTATGATTTAACAATTTTATTTTCAAATCATTTAAATTATGTATATAATTTAATTACTTATTAACATTTATTTTAGGTGTCCTTTCTAATGATGGAACATCACTTAAAGGTAAAATCAATACAGTAAAATATATATTTATTTTTGGATATTATATTGATTTTATTTATTTGAAAATGTTATACAGATGGAAAAAGCGGTATTAACAACACAACAATTTTATATATATTAATTGCTTGTTGTTTTCTACTTATATCATGCATTGGTATTGGAATTGCTTTATTATGTTGTAAACAAAACAAACCTTTAAGAAATCGAAGTAAAAAAGGGTGAATATATACTTTCATTTTAATCAAAAGTATTATTTTATAGAAATTTATTGTTTTATTGATAATTTTGATTTTCAAGTTATAATAAATAACTGATTTAATAAATTTAATTTTTTTTTTGTATAAATTTAATAAAATATATTTTGATCAAAGCTGGGCATTTTTTATTTTTACTCATTAAATTAAGTTAATATAAGAAAAAATAAGTTAGTTATAAGTTAACCAATGTATTTTTTTATGTCTGGGCAAGATTTCTTGTAGAATTTTTGTACATAGTATAAAAAAAAACTAAAAAACATCTTTGTTAAACCAATACATTCTCTGCTACACTCAGAATCTAAAAAGCCTAAACTAAAAATAAAGAAATTGTTATTTTAGTAAACTAACTTTTGTTATGAACATTCAAACCAACATTTTAATATATTTTATTCATATTTTAATTTTTATCACAATTTTAAAATTAATTAACTTAAGTTGAATATATTTTTAAACTATACATGCACTTATTTAGTATTCTTAATAATAAGTATGTTTATTTTTTGTGATAGATACATCAAAGGATCGACAGGTAAAAATGTTAAAGGAGCTCAGTCACCTAGTATTAAACCACCAGATTTATGGATACACCATGATCAAATGGAATTGAAATCAATGGAAAAATCTTCACAAGGTTCATTAGATACTAGTTCTGTTTGTGGTCAAGGCAGTACAAACACTTATGATGGGCCTGACACCCGTGTTACCATACATCATATTCCACAATCCACCAATTCTTTAGAAAAAAGTAACTACGTATCTTCCTATGTAGGTATGTATTCATTTGGTTTTAATTAAATTGTAATATTGTGCTTTAAACCGGTTCACATGGTCAACATTGTTTTCAATTATTTGGAGTAAAAATTTGTTTGAAAAAAGGTTCAGACTGTTAAATATATAATAAATCCATTATGAGAACTACTATAATTTATAACTGGCTAAATGTAACAGCTATTTGAACAGCATTAGTTGAGGGGTAACTAATTACAAATATGAACTGTGTACATCATGCACATGTGCCCCGAGCTATCATATAACTTACCTTATCAGTTACTAATTTAAAAATTCTCAAAATATGCTCTCATATTTCAAAAATTTGCAAAAAAAATATTAAAATATAACTTTTATTTTTATTCTTCTCATTTTAATTTATTGATTTTAATTGATTATTAATTATTGGAATTTTAGTTTAAATATTATAAATTGTTATGAGTATATGATTTATAGGCTAGTCTTGATGTTTGATGTATATAAAACCTTTTAAATAAAAATAATAATAAATATATTTATATTCTTAGAAGAGATTATTGTATATTATGTATACAATTATATATTTCACCTTTATAGTAGTTATTGTATTGTATAATCCAGTGATTCTTAACCGATGTTCCACAGAACACCTATGTTCAGCAGACTTAGTTTAAGTGTTCCATCAAAATTTTAAAATTAGTGAAAAAAAATACATAAATAAAACTAAGTTTTAAGTTTCATTGTCTTAACATTTTGACTTTTATGTACGTCCAAAACACAAAAGTATAAAACTTGCATAACTGTATGGAGTATAAAATATATATATATGTTATTTACGTATATACAAGAGGAAGAGTTCATAACGCTTACAACAGATCAAACTCTCAAAATAACAATAGAAGAATTTTTGATTTCCATTCAAACTGAATTTAAAACAATTTCTGAAAGAGCATTTAAAATTTTATTACAATATTCAACTATTTATTTATGTGAGCTTGGATTTTTAAAATTAAAGAATATCAAGACAAAGAATGGCTACAAATATAGAAAAGGAAATGAGAGTAGCAATATTCTACATATGATTGGATATTGAAAATATCTGTAAAAATCATCAGGCTCAAATATCTCATATAAAATATTCCGTTTCAAATTATTAAATTTTTTTAAACTTTCTTTATTATTTTTTTATTTTTTAGTGACTAACATGTATGCAAACTATTTTATACTATACATGCATTGTTAAATATACTAAAAAATTCAAAAATGTATATAAATACTGTTTAATTTTACGGCTGTGTTCCGCGAAAACTGCATAAAATGTTAAGCGTTCCATCATTCGAAAAAGGTTAAGAACCACTGGTATAATCAATGATTTCTTCAGATTTTCAAACTTGAAAAACCTCTTGTTTGGTGCCAGGATATTTGTATACTAAGAAAAGAAGTGTTCTACATTTGCTGATGTTATTGGAGCAAATTTGAAATCCTTGGTTTTGTTGAGAACTGTTAGTAATTTTTTATTAATAGCAGTTCCAGCTGTGCTTGTTAATTGACTAAACTCTCTCCAAACATTATGTACAATTTTAATAGCTTCAGATAAGGGAATATTATGGTTTTGTGGTAGTTTAACGTTATAACTATAGGAAGACATGCAAATTTGAATGTATAAAAGCTAAGTTTCTTTTCATTTGATTCTTTTAAAACATTTTTGAGCATTTTTGATAGAAAGTGCATTATTTTCATCAAAACATTTAATAGTATAGAAGTTTTCACTAGTAGTGGTATATTTGATGCATCAATATGAAATTTCTGAATTTGAGTAAGTCTATTATTTTATTCATACAAAATATGGTTTTGATTCCTAAAATTACATGAAGGCAAATTCATGCCATCATTGTAATGAAGCCAGGGCATTGAAAAAAAAAAAATAAATGACATTAAATTATGTTTTCAATATATGTTTAAATATGCATTTTAAATTCGTTGAAAACTCATATAGTTTTATCAACTGGAAATGACTGTATCATGGGTAATTTTTGAGGTTGAAGTTTAGTGTATTGATTAAAGTTGCTTTAAAATAATAGTATTATTTGAACCTAGTGTCAAAAATAGGTGTCACTGTTCAAAAAAATTTGATTATATTGCTCATGTGCACAACACTAAACAAGGTTAATAACTGAAAATTATCCTAAAGTGTGTATTTTTCTACTTTCTATCACCTGAATAAAAAAAATTAAATCCAGATTCATCCGGCCAAAATATTTAGTGTTACCTGGAAATTAAATTATATTGTTCATATTAATTATAGCTGTATAATTTAAAAAAAAAATGATTAAAAAATATAGTTTATTTATTTATAGCATATTATTTTAAACTAGTTTTGAGATAGGTAATTAGAATTTTGGTTTACTATTCATTTTTGGGCTACAGTGTGGCATTTTAATAATGTACCATTACACTCCTCAGACCCTTTAAAGTGGAATATCTGGATAATAGATTTATGGAAATAAAAAATATTTTAACTAATACTCCATCTATTTAAGACATTTTCTATGTAGGTTGCCATTTGAAAATTAAAAGTACAATAACCATAATAGTAACACTGAATTTATTTGGTTAATTATGTTTTCTTTCATATTTTATTGTAATAATATTATGATACCAAGAATGGTTGAAGCATGAAATTGTTAAACTTGGAAAAAATTTTAACATTTTAGAAATGAATAAAAACTTCTAAATTATTATTAAAATAATACAAAAATATTTTTTATTAACATGTATTTTCATTCATTAATTTGAACAGAAAACTTATATTTGCCTTTTCAAGGCATTGTACAATTTTCAAAACATTTGAACTATTTTAATTGTAATTTTGCGAATTTTATTAGCAATTTTTATTTGGTTGGTACTTTGTGGTCAAAAAAAACAAATTTGAGTTTACTACATTTAATGTATTATTTTTTATTATAAAGGAAATTTAATATCAAATTTTGAAAAACATTTTTCGAAATAAAAATTATGTGAAACAAATTCAATCTTTCAATTTTTTGTTTTGAAAATATGTATATTGCTCATTTAATAACCATGGTGAAGTAAGAATTAAGCAGACTGATATAATTTTGAAATATAGCTTTTTGAAGTTTTGATATTATGTGGATATTATTATATATTGTTATGTTAAAATAACTATATATTGTCTAGCCTGAACATGTTTGTCATAGTCAAATGGTCATACATTTCTATATTCTGGGGATCATGAGTTCAAACCTGGGTTCCCAAAAAAATGTTCTACAAAAATGTCCAATTTAGAAATTCATAAAAATAAAACAAATTAATAAAATTTAAAATAGTAAAAATACCAGAAATACTGTTAATCAATACTTAATAAATAAACCTAATACAATACTAAATAAACATTTTGTTTTTTATACATTTTTGTATATAGAAGATTAAACTTATTTAATAATAAACAATTTAATTTAAAAACCATACAAAATAAATTTAACTTTAAATATAGAATTAAAAAAAAAAAGTTGAAAAGATAGGATACATAGGGTTATTTTATGTATATCTGTAAGCAATAATGAACCATTGCTTAATGAAAGACGATACTGAGCGCTATTCAGTAATACATAATTTGATCATCATTTTTTTTGCAATTTAATTTGATTTAATTTGATTTGAAAAAATTGCATCGAAAATCAAAAAATTACCTCTTTAAAGTACCATCTAGTTAATTTGAGCTTTCAGAAAACTTGATGCATGTTAAACTCGAATCAAGTTCACTAGGAAAAAATTTGTCTACAAACTAAAATTGAAAAATTAGATTTATTTAACTCTAATTTTAATTTTTGACCACAAAGTAAGACTCTTAATGAATCTCTTGTTAAATTTTTAATAATTTTTGTTAAGTCAACAATTTTATCGCAGAGTACCTACTGAATAAAAATTATGTATAAAATTCGCAAAATCAAACTGTCAATAAATAGCTCTAAAATGATTTAAATTTTTCTTAAATTTTACCATGTTTAGAAAAGGTAAATATAGTTTTTTCTTTAAATTTTAAGTTTATGCATATTTTTAACTGACTTACAACAAATAAACAAATAACAAAATTGAAATAATACTAAAAGCATTATTTTTGTTAATTTCTTGTTTTTCTTAAGTTTTATCCTGGTTTTTCCCAGATATTATGAAAACTGCAAAGAAAATCTAAAAAAGAATTTCTTTTAAAAATAGTGCTCCCATACATATCAGAGTAAGATTTCTTGTAGAATTTTTTTACATGGTATAAAATAATAAATAAACAACTTTGTTAAACCAATATATTCTTTGCTACACTCAGAGTCTAAAATATTTTGGCCTTTTTATCTGTATGCAATTTTACTATGATAAGCTATTAGCATAAATTATTAAAAACCTACACATAAAATTTCTAAAAGTTAACAATCTACATTCAAAAAAATAATTTTGGTTTTACACCAGGTTTAAGTACAGAAGCCCGCATTATATAGTATAACAAAGTTTATGAGTAATTCTCTTGACAACTGAAAAATCTGGCTATTTTTTAAATCTAGACCCAATGAAAGATTTTGATACTGTCAAACATACTGAACCTAAAATGTTTTACCTTGCTTTGGAATTATGAATACAACTTAATATGGCTTACTTGTTATTTTGAAAATATTACGAAATCAGTCAATGTTAATTTCATACTAGGTGTGGAAAATATAATTGTCTATTATGTGCTATTATAATAATAATATTATAACTAATATTAGACAATCAAAATATGGAAGTATTAAGCAATGTAAAATATTAATAGTAAAGTAAAAAATTATATTAATAAATGAATAAATTTCATTGTATATATGTAATTCTTCTAAAACTGAATTAATGTAAATGTTATTTTGGGTATTTAATATCTCTAAGTCTGTATTCATATCAAAAGTGAGATGCCCTCTTGATATATGTTTTGTTTCCATTGAAATTTTCAAAAATATAAGAAAAAATTTGGTTGTGTGAACCCATTTTTTTTTTAAAACAACCAGCATATACATTTTAAAAATATATATCAATTAGTTTTTATTTTTATATGTTAATTATAATTGTATGGCTTTAATTATTTTGTTTTGCATGTATGGTTTATTTATGATTATTTTATTTATATTAAAAGGCAATACAATTATGCAACCTTTATTGTCAGATGAAAAAGTTTCCACATTAAAGCGCTTTAAACCCAAACCTGTAATTTTGCCTGCTGATTCATTTGATTCTATTTATAATGATAGTAAGTTTGAATATTTTAATGTTGGACACATTGTACTAATTTTATTAATTTCTTTAAATTTATATCGAAAAAAATAAAAATATATAATGTACATTTGTTTAGCTATGGCAACTCTACCTAATCAAGAAACTCATTCACCATATCCAAAATCACAATATGCATCTACTTCCAGAGCTCATGTTACAGTAGATTTAACAGCAGGTGAGAAAAAAAATAATTCAAATTATTATTATTATTATTATTATTATAGAAATATGTTAACAATTTTTAACATTATTTTTTTGTGGTTTTTAATTTCATTATTAAAGTTTAATGGATCCTGTAGGAAGTTGTTTTCTTTAAAAATAATTTGGAAATTAGATAGCTCTATGAGTTATAATAGTTTTAGACCATATTTTGAACTTAAAACAAGTTGTCAGTACAAAATTTAAAACTGATTAAATGTATTGTTTAGAACTGTTGTTCTTCTTTGCCAATATCCCCAACTATTTGGGATCACACTTAAGCTAACTCTTATTTATTCATTCCTTATCCTATCTTTTCTTGTTACTCCATACATCCACTTAAGCATTCTTATTCTTTGTTCTATGTTTCTGTCTATCTCCCAACATTTCGAAACATACAACTGACATAGTCAGTTTTCCAATACATTTGTAGTAGAACTTATCTTTAAGTCTTATTAGAATTCGCTAGAATTCACATAAAACACATGACTTATCTCCACTTTATCCAACCACACTTAATCCTATGTTTCATATCATCATCAAATCTTCTGTTCTTTTGTACAAAAGTTCCTAGGGACTTAAAACTTATAACCTTATCTACTGCATCACCACTTATTGTCACTATTTGTCTTGGTCTATTCCTCCAAACTCATATTCTGTTTTATTATTCTTAGTCCCTTTTATTCAAGTGCTACTTTCCATTCATCAAGTCTATTATTAAATTATTCCAGATATTGTCCCATCAAAGCTATATTATCTGCAAAAACCATGGTACCTCCTTTCACCTGTTGTTTTGAGCAAACGTAATGTAGGATAATCCACCAGTCTTGTTTCAATGGCTGTGGATTTGATGCAATCCCATTTACCATCTCTTATGATAGGTACTGGCAACCATGGGAGTATTCTGATTCCTTATCATAGGGAGATTTTTTAAGAATTTAATTAATAATATTTATATTTTTCTATTTCTAATTGTTAACAATTTATACTAAACCACAAGTAGGACAGTTAATATGAGAAATCTCTTGGTTTTACTCTACTTATAATTTTTAATTTCTCTGTTAATATATTTAAAGAAAATAAATAAATGATAAATTATATTTTAATCTAAATTTGGGTTTTAGGAGTTCCTGAAAATAATTACATTGTTCAAGCTACTACAGTTCCAGATAAATTTGAATCCATACCAGTATCCGCTACTAATCTTCAGCAACACACGTAATTGTTTAATTTTTTTACTTAATGAAATTGGTGATGATTTAATTTCCACATATAATGATAACTAATTTTCACTAATCTATTGCTTGATAATATTTAAAGCAGATTTAAAGCAAAGACAAAACTGTGAGAATTACATTAGTCAGATTTCAATTTTTAAAACATGCTACAATTTTTTAGTTGCCATCCTAGGCATTGTATTTATTTTTGAAATTTTAATTCTCTATTAAGTAAATTGTTATGTACATTTTAAATTTATTTAATAAAATAATTATATTTGTATTTCCAGTATATGCTAGTTGAGAATCTAAAAAATCGTCATCTATTTTCAACATTAAAATCTTCCAAATACAGTTCCTACAGTTTTGTTTGTCTTTTAGGTCTAAATGGACCGAAATATACAGTATTATTGTTGTATTATTTTATTTCAGTTAATATTTCAGTTTGATAGTTTCTGTTACATTAAAGTGCAGTATTCTTTTATGTCAAGTAAGATTCAATGTTAAATTACTGACTCTTCTAAAACGTCACATTTTAACTACCATTTATACCACCCTTTATTATCTGTGAATATACACCAACTTAAATTACAAAATGTTGCATTTGTTGTCATATTTTTAAAAACTGGAATAAAATTATTACCAACAAATCAACCCTAAGAAAAACATATGTCCAAAAATGCTATGAAGATTATTAAAAAACTTAAAAACAATGTAGAGAATAACAAAATATGGACATCTACTGTCTATTGACAGATAAATAATAATGTTACATTGCAAATGTTGTCATAAGTACATCATAATTTGATAATTAAGGGAAATAGTATGATTTTTAAACAACATATTATTTTAATTAAGTGATGCCACACCATTTAATTATTTTATTCAAACATTTTCGTGTCACATGTATCATATGAACTGTATAGGGTTGCTGAAGAAATCAGGAAATAATTCCCATAAGTTTAAAAACTTATTTTAATGGCTTCTTCTTCTTTGAGTACACATTTTTAAAGAAATTGTGCCTACTATATCCAAATAAAGAAGAAATTATACTAAAAATGAACAATGACAGTGACATGTCTCTCACCCTGAAGATCTGTTAAAAATAGTTAATGCCAAATTTGTTTAAAACAATATTTATGGGTGTTAAGAGTTGGTGATTTGTCTATAATTCGGAAACAGTGCTTAGTGAGCCAGTGAAAATACACAATGACAAAAAGATTGTTTCAAAAATCCAAAAGTAAGATCATGCTCTTTGACTACCAATGGATTGTGCACAAAGAATTTGTTATGCCCTTTGGAAATACTGTTAATGCCAAATTTTATAAAAATGTTTTGGATCACCTCTGTAATAAAATTGTAATCATTAGGCCAACTCTGTGATTGTTGTAAATGAAAACCAACAAATTGACAACATTATTATAATGGCTTTATTTAAATTTGTATAGTTTATATTTTCTATCAGAAATATTGTTCTAATAGACAAACTATGAAAGAAATTATTTGTTGCCTTTTTAATCTGTGATAAGAAATAAAATATTTTTACCTAGTTTTTCTTCCTCCATTTATTGGGAAAAATCCTCGGAAAATCAAAAACTGATCTTCCTAAAGTACTTCCACATTCATATTTTCTTTATGAAAAAACATATCATTGTAAATCTGAGCAAGATATTTGTAGAAAAGCTGTCTACAGAAAAAATATCTATCTTTGTAAAACCAGAATCACTCCACTCAGACTCTTAAATATTTTTATCATTTTATACATTTTTTTTTTTTTCTATATTTTTAAAGTTATTTATGTAATCATTTTTCAAGGTTCTAACTATTACCAAACCCCTTAAAATAATATATAATATATTTATTCCTAATTAAGTAATATATAAATTATAAATTTAAGGGGATCCTTAAATTCAAGTGAAAAAAGACATCAGGGTCATCCTTTGAAGAGTTTCAGCGTGCCTGCACCTCCACCACAGTCTGCACCAACTACACCTCAACAAAAGCATATCGGTATGAATCATGCATTTTCAATAAAAATTTTTAATATTCATTTTATTTTTTTAGTTACAGTTAGACCACAAGGATCATCTAGTCCCTACAAAAAGAATAATTACTCAGCTGTAAATAACTCACCTTCTAGTGCATCAATGGCTACTGGGCCTAAAACATGGAAGTCACCATTAACTGGTGTTAATCAGAGAGAGACTGTTGCTGAAGTAGAATCTCTTAGTAAAATACAAGTAATAATTTAATATTATCATCCTTATTTTAATTTTAATAATTATATTATTGGCACCATCATTTCTCAGTTTCAAAGCAAAATAATCAAATTAAAATGCCAAAAAGTTTAATGGGTACTATTGAAATTCACTATAATAATCATAATTTGTTTGGTTTTTTTTTTGATTTTTGAGTCTGGAAAAAAAAAATGAAAAATACATTTAATATTTTTTCATATAGCCTTTCAAATGGCAAACTATAATTTTATTTTTCCATTTAATAATTTATTTGCATGTAGATTTCCTATGTAGTTGGTTAGAACATTAAAAATGTATTTTTTTTTTTTTTTTATCAAGAATTGTACTTACCAAAGTGTATTAAGTATATTAGCAATGGTTTTACAAATTGTTTTTCTATATTTATTGATATATTAATAAGTCAAAGAAAGCAATTAGTAAATAAAATAATCAAAAATGTCACTACTGATGTTTGCTATTTGGCTATAGCCAAAAAAACTTTTGTAACATTTTTTCTTGTATTTTCGAATTTTTTCAGACCCCAAAATCCTATTTTCTAATTTTTATCAAATACAATTTGTTTGAAAATTAATAAATATCATAATTTTGTTATATATTATAAGGTAGAACTCTAATAACCATAGTAAAAATATGAATGAGCAATATTTTTAAAATCAAATGTTATTTTACCAATAATTTATCAAATAATTATTGATAATTCTGGTGCAGCCCTTCAAAATATATTAGCCTATATTGATTACACATAAATTGGTTTATACAATCACAGTTATTTATTAAAATAGATTCTTGATAATAATTCCATAAATCAAACTGAACAGTTGTTTCTAGAAATAACCTCTATACAATTTTATAGATGTCTGTTTGAAATAACACATGTATTTAAATTCTCTTAATATATCAAAAATAATAAAATATAAGCTGATGGGGATAGTTTACAATTTAAATATGTTTGACCAAAACCTCTATAATTTGAATTTATAGTCATTATATGATGTTATGGAAGATAAGGCTGATCTTTTATGACAGGATTGCTCTATGTTGTCTTTTTCTTCTTCAATGGTTTAATCTTTTAATGAATTTGATTACTTTTGATACACACAATAATTAATGTGTAATATTATTTATGTAGTGTGTACTTGTAAATAATTTTTAAAAATATTTAATACAAACTTCCTACATAATGAAATAAAGCATTCGCATTAAGTGGTGTTGTTTAATCTTGTTAACATACTATAGGATCTGAACCAGATCACTATGCATATTAGGTGGCTGCCTACATTAAATGGAATCTCCTTTAATTGATATTATAAGTAATAAATTGTAAAGTACATTAAATATTAGATATGTAATTTTTCAACTTTCTGTAATTTAAATTATTTCTTTCTTTCTCTTGATAATTCAAATTCTAGCTAAATCAAAAATCACTATAAGTAAATTTTTCAGCTTAATTACCCTAATTTTGCATTATTAAAATTCTACTACATAAGTCTAGGCATATTTTTTTGTCATTTTTCACACTTTTTTTCCTGGATAAGCAGACTAGGACACATTCCTTTCAGACCCCAAAATACTAATAACTGATTGCAAAAATGAAAGGAAACAGTTGTGTGTATCATAGCAGATATAATATGTATGTATCATTGACTGATACTGGATATATTAGTATCATTGTTTACAGTACATACAACCATTATAGTATTGGATATATTTTTAAATAATTACTATAAATATTAATCTTATTCATTATCATTACTCTATACACATTTAATAATTTTGTGTTACACACATTTGATTTTGTATTACATATAAAAATAGGTCTTAATACAAATTATTCTTAATTAATACATATATTTTTTTATTTAAATAATTTGTTTATAGACTTCCTATAGTACAGAAGAACTAAATCAAGAAATGGCAAACTTGGAAGGTCTAATGAAAGATCTCAGTGCAATTACTGCATCTGAATTTCAATGTTGACAACTTTCAAATAAAATTGAATTTTAATTATAACTTTATTTTTAGTGAGATAAATATATAAGTATTTAATTCAGTATATGAAAAAGACTGATCTCTGATGTATAGAGTAATCATTTTAGATCATCAGATTACATGTATAAAACAAGTTGCATAAATATTCTGTAATAACTTAGAGTCAGGTTACACTAACACAATCTTCAGAATATTTCGTTTAATTAACATCCAATTTGTCATATTTACACCAACTGATAACATACACAATAAAGTGCATTTTATTACTGGTTTGTATTCAAAAATAGTTGCATGCTACAGTCATTCTACTTTCTTGGCTTAAAACAACATTATGTGTAGACAGGTTCATATAGAATTATTTGCACACTTACAGATCTGTACATTTTCCCTTATAGAACCTGTAACTTAGAGGTCTGATTTTTTTTTTTTTTTACCTATAACTTGTAACATATCAATATTATTATATTTCTGACTTGAACAATTTAAATACAAATTATAATGTGACCAATTTTGTGGAAATAAGCCCCAGTTTTTTCAATAATTATTAAAATGAAAATTGTTAAATAACAATTTACAAATTATTTATGCAACATGACTAACATATAGATTTAATATAATTTTACAGAGTGATAGTGATCTGTAATATATTTACAAGCTGGTTTTCATGCAACCTAACCTCATAGGATTAAATATATTTTGGTCTTCTTTCCATTTATAAATTATTAAATTACATTATATTATGAATTTTCCATTCCTATTTCTTTTGTGATAAACGAGAAACTGATTTTTTCAGTTAATGTTGCTACAACTTATGTTCCCATTTATGATTTAGTTTGTCTTATTTAAATGAGGACATACTAAGTAAAAGTGTATTTTTATTTAGTAATCCATTGCCTATTGTCATTCCTTTGTATTCATTTATAACATTTATTATGGATGTTTTGTAATAATTATATAATGTATAAGTAATACAAATTTCATAGAATCTTTCTTTCTATTTAAAAGACAAAATTTTAATTTGTTCTTTTATTTCAAAATATTTAAAATAATTATATTTATACAAGTTATATATTACATATATTTTGTAATTGAAAATTAATCAATTAAATTTTAAAGAAAATGTTTAATCAAAATAACATTAAATGTATTAATTTTAATTTTTAGTTATAAATGTCAAAATAAATAAAATGAAAAGTTAACAACAAATATTATGAATAAGGCTGTGAATTTAAGACACAAACAAAATGTAAGGTTTATATAACTTTTAAAGTTTTAAACATTAAATTCTAAAAAAATTTCTATGGCGTTTTAAAAACTTAAATTAAACAGATACTAACCACCATTACCTAAATAACTCAATTATACACTACTGATATATCATTATTTAACAAAATTACCGCAATTGTAACAAATCAAATAGTGTACTTGCATATTTACTTATATACAGTGAACATTAAAGACTTGTGGGACTTGCATAAAGTGAGTCTTATAGGCAAAGTAGAGAAAAGATAGAATGTATTTGATTATGTACGGCCCCATTTCAAGTGATTTTTATTCAAATAAGCAATTGAACCTTATATTAGTGAGTTTTATGAGCGTCCACTGAATATCTTCTGTAAAATATTTAGATTTTTTTCGGGTATAAAATATATAAGTATCACAATGACATAGATATAATATAACCTCTGTAAATTAAAAAAAATGTATAGAATTAGGGTAAAAAGAAATAGGAAAAAATTTAAAAAAGCAAAATAAAATTTGTGTAGTTGAATTCTGTGTTAAACATAATTTAATTTTTGTATTAAAAAATCTAATTTTACAATCAATTATAAAAATGCACTTTTCTACAAATTCACTGCCTTATTATGTTTAAATTATGTTCCAAGCCCTATGGTGTTAAACTATTTACTTACTAGTTTATATTTTATTATCTATTTCATTTTCATTAGTGTTTATTACAATTTATGAATACAATTCTGTTTTATTTTAATATAGATTGAAAATTTTAAAAAGTGTATACTAGTCAACTGGTGGAGTAAAACTATGTTTAGCGATTTTTTTTTTTATGTGAAATTTATGTGATATTTTGCTATCTAAACACAAAAAGGCCATAATTTTTAAAAATATCACAAATTAAATTTATTATAACTTGAAAATATAAATATATGTATATTGTATATATTTGTTTTATCCCTAAACTTGAATAATACATATATTAATGTTAATTAACTTTAAGTAACACTTAAATAATAAAACTAAAGAAAACTTGAAGTGGTTGTAATTATTTTTATTGATGTTAATTAAGTTAAAATAAGTTTTTTTTTAAATATATTTCTGTCTTAAATTTAAATGTTAAACTGCCTTATTTTTATAAATGTAACTTTTAGCAATAATGCATCAAATTATTTTCTATGTGTACTATGTATTATATTTGTATAAATAAAGCTCTAAATATTTAAATAATTTTGTCTGTACCATAAATATCATTTATAAATATTTTATCAGAGAATACCTTTCTCACGATAATTTGGTAAAATTTGTAGTATAAATTATATGCCAACATTATTTTGTACAAGCCTGTTGAAATTGTATGTGGATAATTTAGATTATAAAATATTAATATTGATATTTTCAAATTACTAATGTAACAGTGATATTTAATTTAAATATGTGTAATTTATTTTTATAATTTATTGTTTAATTTATGTATATTTTTATATTTGTCCAATTGCTTAAAATTAACACAAATTAATATTTGGTTTTATATTTTACCGATCTAAAACTTTATTATAAAATATATTTTTTTTATTTTAATATTTGTCCATAATTGTGTTTATCTTTGTATTAATTGTGTACGCATTTATATTATAATACTGTAATTTATTTTATTTTGACTACTTTGCACCATCAACCAAATTTAAATTTGAAAGTGCCTTAATTATTTATCAAAAATATAAACCATGACACTAATAACATGGCATGGGGCATTTCATAAATATTTATTTTATACAGAACAGATGCTTAATATTAGATGTAAGACTTGATTTTATTTTATTTCATTTTATATGTCTTAGTGTTAATAAATAATCCTATGTTTTAGATCTCTTAATCAAATGTTGTATTATTTTTTTTCTTTTCTTAAGTAGTGCTTAGTTAATAAAATATCAATGACAACTGTAGCCAATTTTGTTTAATCATATACAGGTACATGTAGTATTAATTTACTACAATTTTGTACATTATTTTTAATAAAAACTTGATGTGTCAAACATTAAAATTGTATTCTTGAAATCATATAAACCACAGTAAGTAAACATTATCATCTTAACATGGATAGTAAATACTCATGAATATTACATTCTTCTACTCTTCAGGTCTACATTTTAAACTGTTTTTAGTCCTAACACATTTTCTAGTATATCAGGACCTAACCTATCGTAAAGTTTAACTTGAGAGTTCTCTTTTTAAATTTGTGTTGAATTGGAAGAGGAGAGGATTTTTATTTTGTGAAATAATAATATGATGTAATATAATATATAATAAATATAAATAAAAAAATTGTTTAATATTCATATTTTATAAGTATTGGCAAATGTTTCTGGATCATTTGTAAATCTTTCCATCCCCGCCTGTATCGATTCATTTATTTTTGTTATAAATTGTTGGTCTTTAGATCTATTTTCATCAGTTTTTAATCTTAGTGTACATTTTGCTACTTTCCATCTAAAAATGTATACAAATATAATACATACGAAAACTATATTTTATTATATCCAAATTTAAAATTATTGCTCGTATTATTAGGTGCGGACTCTTCCATATATTTGGTCCGGCAGTGGTGAATCACCCAATAATCCATCATTTTCTTATCAACCAGCTTTTTCCAAATGTGGGTTTTATCTCCTTTTATAAATAATAAATTTCAATAACTTTATTTTGTTTTTGATAAAAATTATTCGTCTGAAATATAAGAATAAAATATTAATATATTCTATGTAATTAAAAATGTATAGTTTCTATTTTTTGCGTAAGTTTAACAGCTTTTTTTAGTTTCTGTTTTTACCAAATGTATCTGTTGAGCGGGCATGTTTGTGTCACTCTGAAAATAATACTGGTCATTATTTTGAAAAATAATAAACTTACATCGCTAGTGCTGTTTTCAAAATCTGTCTATTCGCTGAACTGGTTCATATTTTATAGTAAAATATAATATTTTTCACAAAATAAAGATGTTCAATATTATTTCTGTTTTAGAAGACTGTAGTCAAAAAAATAAAAAATAAAATTAATTTAAAGTTTATTATAGCAGGTAAAACAAAAGAATTATCAACGAGCAACTTTACAACAACGAGACACTTTATTTTGAAGGTGGATGATTTGAATGTTTTTCGAATCCATACGAACGGGCATTATATATTATTAGATCCCCCTTCACTATATACGTATGCTAGCTGAAGAAACAACTATGCATAAAATTCCTAAAATTCCTGAAATTCTTGTACTGCTGATGAGTGTGTTTTGAAAGGCGACTGTACCCGGGTACGGATATTGCCGGACCCGGAGAGATAGTGTGCGAGAGAGGAGCGCGAAAGAGAGCCTAAGAGACGCGCACAAACGCATCTGGTGTAAAACTCGTATTATTTTTAATGCACTGTCGGTGTGGGGGTAGCATTTTTTTTTCGTCGTACTCGGAAGGTCATCATCATCACGCGCGATGACAATAACAAAATGCGCGGGTTCGGTACAGCGAAACGGGTAGGGACGCCACTGGCAGGTACCTGCTCGACGATCCCGTCCGGTTCTTCGGCCGAGACCGCGTTGTCCGAATCGAAATCGCCGTCTCACGCACTATAATATACGCATTCCTCGCCCGTAACACTCGAATTTTACAATAATACGACGATCACTTGTTATTGTATTTTCTTGGACCACTCGCGCATTTTATTCGTACAGCGTGCGCATGGCTAAAATATGTGCATCGTCAGGAGATTCGTATTTGTATTACCTATATATACGAACTGGCATTGATGATGTACGCGCGCCGTCTTGTTTTCAACGGATTCTCGATGCCATTTACCCTGTCGTTTTCCGGGACGTAGGTACGCGATATAATACCCATACCGTGACGGGTAAAACGGAGGAGGTGAAGGGACCACCTCACCCCCTCATTTTACTTTAATATCTATAATAACATATACAGAGCGACTTTTTAAGCATGCTCAGCGCCTACCTCGCGTTTACGGTTGAATTATGCGTAAATACAAATTCCGATATTTGCAGAATTTATAAGCATATAGTGAAAGACGATTTTTTCGAATACTTGGATTTATTATACTATAGATTTATTATCCTAGGACGTCTTTTTTGAGTTTATTCTGTAATTTTGGATTGTTTTTCGTTTTATTTTTTTTAGAGATCGTCCACAAACGTATTTTCGGGTTTCCGTGCATATTTAAAAGTAGAATATTTAGCCCCCCTCCTCGAAAAAAAAAAACTAGAGTGAGCCTTTGAAATATATAACTATACGAAGGAATTTATTTGATCGGTGTTCAGTTACCTACAATTAGCCATTAATATTTGTAATTTTTAAGCAAAATACATTTGACGTTATTTATCCTTGTTGGTTTTTACCGTGTCGTTTTTTGAGGACTACTAGACAATTTAAATCACTAAAAATAAAAAAATTGTCAACATATTTATTTACAAATGTGTGTTATCATACTTCAAACTTTTATTTTTAGGCCACTCAGCATAAGGTTTATTGAAAAACGGTAAGTAAACTTTGTAATTTATTTATGTTAACTTTAAAGATCGTTTTGTAAGATTTATTTTCATGTGGATATGTAGTATATTTGATTTATTTGAATTTAAAAAATACTGTGTTATGTAATATTTTGCCATATCTAATCATTAATAAGTAAACATAAATTGCTTACTTATTATTTAAGTACTGTTTATTATATTTTAATCAACATGCCGAACGTGTACAAAAGAAAAACTGAAGCATTATGATATAAGGATCAATTATTCAATTCTATTGAAGTTTATCACTCTGATAGTCCATCATGTAATAAATCAGCAAAACGTTTTGGCATATCTGTGCCAACACTTAGAAGTTACTTGAAAAAAAGTTCAGAGGTAAATGTATAAATATTTTAATTAAAAAATGTATTTATGTCTACCTACTTATATTAATTTTTGCTTAAAATTGTAGAATTATCTCATACATGGTGGAAGGTTCAGAAATACTTTTTTGATAAGCAATTAGAAGAACTTAAAAATTGTATAACAGACATAAGTGTTAAATGTTAAATATTAGGTATATTAATTTTATTAATAATAAGCGTTCCTTTGTTTTGAAAACATTTCAGTGCAAGAGGTTGGTTTATAATTTAGCTAATGAAAATAATATTCCTCATCGTTTTAATAACGAAACCAAATTAGTTGGTGATTAATGGATATTAATTAATTATTATTATTTAATATTATTATTAATTAATATTATGGTGATAACTAGATATTAAACTTTATATATACTACATACTACTTTATATATTAAGTACTACAAGTAAACTATAAGTACTATAAGTATAATATATTCATGTGAGTTTTGTAAAAAATAGATATTAATATTTATTTTAAATTTATATTATGTCACTATTATTAACAAGGTTTGTTAAAATAAATAATATTATGTTACTATTATTAACAAGGTTTGTTAAAATGTTAAATATTAGATATGTTAATCTTATTAACAATAAGGTTTGTTAAAATTATTTTTTTACTAGTTATTTTCAACTGTTAAAAAATATTTACATAAAAATTTTGTCAAAGAAAGTTGTTTTATTAATATAATAAACTACATACGTTAAAATATAATTATATATAATATTAAAAGTTATTTAATTAATTTATATATGTATGTCATCTAACCTCAGCACATAGGTAAGATGACAAATTTTGTTTTTTTTTTTTTTATTTAAAAAAAATTAGTTTAAAGACAAATTTTGATACTGATATTTTTTTGCAACTTTTTCACAAATTAATCTATACATTGGTATAGAATTTGGACTCGTATCATAAAGACTGATTATTTAAGAATAATAATTTAAACCTTATATTCGTCAACTAACCCTGGGTATCCTCTACACTGTAAAGGCTAAAATCTCAAATTTCAAAACCAAGGAAATTAATGAAAATAAATACAACTCATCCTCCATATTATAATTACTGAATAAACAAATACTAGATAGTAGGTATAAGAAACTTGGCCATGTTCTTTCAAGTCCCTAAACTATAAACATACATTATTAAGATGACGTATAATATGTTATAATATAAGTTAATATTGTGATAATAATTTAAGTCAGTTGCTTTTTTAGAAACATATATACTTGACAAAATCCTAAATTCAAATCATTTAAAAATTAATTTGGAAAATCCAAAATTTTTAAAATCAATGATTTCAAAATCCGAAATCCGCACCTTAAAAATTATCTTAATAAATAGTTAAAATTATTAATTATCCAAAAAGTATATATTTTTTAGTCATTTTATAATATAAATAATAAAGTATATTAGGTGATAAAATGCGTGCTCCATGTGACCATTGGCCAAACTCCCAGAATACTGTATCCTGTATCTCAGGAGTACCTAGAGCCTGGGACCGGAGCCGTGGAGTATAAAAATAAAACTCACAGGATAAAGATGAAACCGCTGAACGAAAATATGGTAGTTTTTCCTTAGACCTCACACATTTTGATAGATGACATTTAGAAAAAAAATGTTGACTACAAAGAACTGATAACTCCTTAATAATAGATGGAATGCCTTTAATAAATTTAATTGAAATACCAACTTCGCCATTAGATATCCGTGTAGAAATTTCATCGAGAATTTTACACATTAATTCCTTTTGATAGACAGTTCTATTTGTACTAATACTGACCGATGATGTCGGAGTTAAATTTAATAATTTATTTTTATTTTTAATGATATCAAACGTTTTGCTTATAGTACTAAATGTAACTTTTAAGCTTATCTTGTTGATAACGACTCTGTCTAAATGCCTTTAATGGCTTTAACGACCAAATCGCTCATAATAGATTGTAACACAAAATTCTCCAAAAATTAAATCACAAATTAAACATTTCCTGGACTTCACAAAGTAAAATGAAACATAATAATAAACACTAGATAAGACAATGATCTGAATTCAAGTGCTTTTTTTAATGTTCTATGAAATATTGGTGCAATACAATTTTAAAATAATACAATAATATGTAGGTGTATAGTATATACTATACTTAATGTGGTCTTAACTACATAAGTAATATAAAGAATATAAATAATCTTAATATATGTATAATATATATATACCTAATCTAAATAATATAAATAATCTAAGTATATGTATAATATATATACCTAATCTAAATAATAAAAAAACCTTTAGTTTTGTTTTAGATAATATAAAAATTTTAAAATGCTAGTAAAGTTAAAACATAGAGATAGGTATGATTATAATATTGGTTAAGTATATAGTATTAAAAGAATAAAAGAATAAAATTCTATTGAATAGTTTAATTGGTCTCGTCAATTAATTTCAATCGTATTGCAGCTTTTAATTGAAGATTAATGAAATGCATGATTTTAATTATTTCTGATGGATCACATCCTCTGATATCTGCGTTATACATGTCCATGAAATCGCTGATAATTTTAATTGAGTCCATTATATTTGCTCTGAAATACATTTAAGCACATACAGTAAAGGTTAATGTTTAGTAGGTAACTATTGCAATTTAGATTTTGATATAATATAAAATAATTCAAATAGTTGTTTTTTTCTTATTTCTAACAATTAAATACCAATCTTAAAATATAGATAGTAGCTATCAAGGACAGCAACGAAGTTCAAGAAATTAAACTTTTATAATAGTACCTATTTTGTTTTAAGTTTAATTTGAGTCTTGAAATTCAAATACCAAACAATTTTCATTGTTTTATTATATACTATTATACAAAATAAAGTAGATATTTATAAGATGGCAAACAAACTATATTTTTCATATTTTATCACACTAACTTTATAAATCTCACTCCATCTTTTATTTAATATTTCTCATCTATATGTATAGTATACATACACTAATACCTTATATAAATTCTCTCTTAAAATATCAAATTTGGAGTATGATGGTATTAAATTTTTATGCAATTAATTTAATTTTTAAAATACAGCACTATAGTGCTTTCAAACTACCACTACTTATGCTATGTTAATCAATCTCTACTCTTTCATAATTTAATCAAATAGTTTGGGAGTTACTGATGGGTATTATAGGTAGGTAACATAAAAATAACTCACTTGACCAGTTCTTTGTCCAATACTTTTGGATCAACAGCGTCCAATGTTTCATCAATGAATGATTCCTCATAATTGATAATTTGCCTGATTTGTTGGATTAGCAACAAATTTGAATCTTTAGTATTTAGGAAGTTCTGAATTGCTTCCTCATCTATAAATAATTAGTTATGATTTTGCAGTGACATATTTTATTTATTAAAAATGTACAAAAGTACCTTTAATTATTAAATACCATTTGTTTAGTTTTATTAACCATCTAAGCACACCTAACTAACTAAATAAATATAATATGAACGGTTGGTATGATGTACAACAAAATTAAATAGTTTAAATGCAAAAATTCAATTGACAAAAAAAATCTTTAAAAATTACAACAAATTAGAATCAAGTAATAAAACTAATAATATAACAATAAAACTAATACAAATTTTTGAAAAAAAAAAATTAAAATATTTGTAGCTGCTTAACTACTTTGAATAAAGATATATTTATGAGTATTTGATGGAAAGGGTGTGAGAGCAATCTCTCCTTTTTTCTGTATTCCTACTCGATGGTCTTCTAGAATCAATTGTTTAGTATCACTGAATCATATGTACCCAGATATAATGAAGGTACTAAATAACATTATATTAACTGGCCGAACCAAATATGAACAAAATGATGCTACCACACTTAAATCATATTTTGAGAGTTATGAAACAGTTATTTTGATATTATTGATGTATAAAATATTATCAAAAATAAATATTGCATCAAAAATATTACAGTCTCCTGAAGCTGATATTGGAAAGGCTGCAGATTTGATAAAAAGTACATTGCAAATTATAGAAGCAATTCGTATGAATATTGATATTTTAATTGAAGAAGCTAACAATAAAGCATTAAAATGGAATGTGACACCTCAATTTTCAAATAAACGAACAATAAAAGTAAAACGTTTTTATGATGAGCTTTGTCAAGATCAACGACTTTCACAAGGATGTCAATATTTTAAAATACAGGTGTTATATAGGTGTATTGATACTGTTGTTACACAAATGCAAACACGATATGTTGGTCTTAATGAAATAAATNTAATCCATCTGAGCTAGCAAGGCAAATTGAATCATTTAATATTCTGTTTTCTTCAGAGCTTGAATCCTGTAATAGTGTTTTTGATATGACTAAATTATTGGTTATTGAGAATTATAATCTAATTACTAGTTTTCCAGACCTATTAACAACATTTTATTTATTTCTTACATTACCAGTAACAGTAGCCAGTGCAGAAAGGTTATTTTCAAAGCTCAAATTAATTAAAAGCTACCTTAGAAATACTATGTCTCAAACACGTTTGAGTGGTCTCGCAATGATATCAATTGAAAATGAACGCGCCAAAAAGTTGAACATGTCAGCATTGATAAAGTCATTTGCACAAGATCGTAGCAGAAAAAAATTATTTTAATTTTAATTTGTAAATTATATTATATTTATTGACTTATTGTTTACTTAATAAATTAATATCCTTTTTTCGCATATTACAAGTTAACAATTTATTATGTAAAAAAAAAAAAAATTTCCAATATAAGTACTTATATAACTATTCATTAGGGCCAATAAAAATTTTACCCACGGGCCTCAAAGATTGTAGTTCCGCCACTGCATTTTGTATTGTAAATAAAATTGTATTATTTTTTTGAGTCATACGTTTACTTAGTGATCTAATACTTAACTTACATTATATATATATATACTAATTATATAGTGCATATTAATTTATAATTTGTTTTGCTTGTTAAATTATGTTAGCATTTCGCGAACTTTTTTCTATTTTTAATTTATAATTTGAGAGAAAGGAGGGTATAGAGTACAAGACCTCTAGATCTCAAGTTACGACTTTGGTATACATACATATGTACGTGAATTTCATCACGTCCTAAAATGAGTACTCTAATGCACCACTACATGGAGTGCATTGAATTACGAAAATTGTTTTACATAAATAAAATAGGTACCTACTGAACTAATTAAAATATTTTAAGATTAATTTAATTTCCTAAAGAGTATCAAAATAACTACTTAGGGGAAAATAACAAATTAAATATAATTGTAGCAGAAATAAGATATATTTAATTTAAGTATGTCTTAATTTGTGATATGTAAGTTCCTAATTAGTTAGTTGTAAAACAGTTTTCATGTAATGTTAAAATTAAAATATTTTACCAATCCAATCATTATGAAAAAAAAAAAAAAAAATGGCTTCATTAATGTTTCATACTATGATATTGAAACATCTTACCAAAAGCAGATATTACGAAGAATGCATATGTAACATCTTCATCAGTATGGAGCTCGTTATCTTTAGTCAGCAAAAATATTGTAGCGTCTTCTGCAGCGAGTTCCAAATTTTTCATGCCGATTAATACCCTTGCTCTGAGAAACAAAGTGTCTTTATTTGTTGGTAAATATTCCAGTATTTCGTCACAATCTGCCAAACATTCGTTTAACAATTCCTAAAAAAAAAAAATAAGTATAAACTATCATTTATAATAATGTTGGGAAAACGTTTAGATCTCCGTTTAGATCATATAAGTCCAAAACATTTTGTCTATGGGGAAGTGGGGTGTATTTATACAAACATATTAAATCTGTTATGTTTTTCTGAAAGTTAGGGTGTAGGGCCCTTTCTTGCTCCCACCATTTAGGACGTATTATGTGCCTATTTATATTAATTTATATAGATAGGTTTATAAATAAATGTTCACCATGTTGTAGTATGCCGTAGCTCGATTATGATATACATGAGCTTTCAATAGGCGATCGGATTGAGGACACAGCAATAAATATTTTGTATAATATCCAACGGCGTCCTCGTAAGCTTTCATCTCCAATGAACTGTTTCCTAAATTTATGTAGTGAAGCATGAGAATATTTTCCTTGGCAGCCTGCAGTAGGTACATAGGTATACAGAAAACAACAAACCAATTAATATAGATAGGTTTCATTATATATTTTATTTTTACAACCACGAAAATAATATTAAAAATAGTGTACCTCTTCTCTTAATTCGTCCTGAAGTCGGGCTTCGTTTAATTCGTCCTGAAGTTGGGGTTCGTTTAATTCGTCCTGAAGTTGGGGTTCGTTTAATTCATCCTGAAGTCGGGCTTCGTTTAATTCGTCCTGAATTTGGGCTTCGTTTAATTCATTCGGTGGCTGCGACGAATTATTATCAGTAGAGTTTTTTCTGATCTTATAGTAAATTAATGCGATACCCAATCCTACCGCGAAACACGGCACGTAGACATAAAAACGTAACTTGCATTGGTTTATGAGACTTAACAGAAATCTGGTGCATAGAGCTGGCATTGTTTATCGAATGTAATCTGTATAACATGAAAATAATATTATATAGGTATCTGCTGTAAAATAGGTAATAACAATAAGAATTTAATATTTACACGCGTAGTTGGACTGACAACAATTTTATTATTCTATAGAGAGAAATGATTATTTTGACGGAACAAGAATTCCTATATTAACGCAATGATGCACAAAAACTCCTACGGGCGTTGCCTTTCCTATTATAATACTGGCGTTTACAGCGCAGACGCGTTTTAGAACCTTTATTGATCGTGTTCCCGGACAAATGCGAGGGTTGTATACACACACACCTACACAAAATAAATTGGGTTACATACAGTGTGTCCAACGAAAATATACTCCTTGATTATATCCAGGGATAATAAAGATAATCAAATTCTGTTTTTTATATTACTCACAGGGATGAGGACTACAAATATTTAAATTTAAATTTATTTATTTTTTTATTAAAAATATAACTTTTTATTTTATTATTTCGGAAAATTTTAAGATAGCCATTCTGTAGAATCTATTTTTCTGAAAATCGTAATGTATCACACATTTATTGGAAATTCCAATTGACTATAGATAGAGCTAGTTTCTTATTACGATTGATAATGAAATGTAGGTTCTATACTCCGACCAACTGGATGGCGACCGAAATTCATCCGTTCTCGCGCATTCCTACCACTAAACCTGCCTGAACCCTGGCCACCACCGCCACCATATGCACCACCATTGCTCATTGATGGCTACCACCGCTGCCTCCGCCGCCTCCGCCACCGCTGCCACCACCACCACCACCACCACCGCTACCACCACCACCACCGCCACCGCCGCCGTTGTCATATTGTGTAGGTGGTTGTGTGTATACAGCGTGAACTGTATTGCTTTACGTTTTTACGTTTTCGCATACATACGACAAGTTTTTCGTTTTTACTTGTTTTAGTGTTTACTATTTAGGTTAATTTAGGTTTATTAATACACCAATCACATCATACAATTACAATAAAAAAATTATGATTTTAAGAAAAGGTATTCAATTTTTGAATAAAAAGTTAATTGCTTGTGTATGTGTCTTTTTTTACATTAGCATACGCATACGTAAAGCAGGCGTAATCTAAATATTATTTTAATTTATTATTTGATTCCTCATCTCTTGTTTGTTAAATCATTTCGTTTTATCCGAATGCCGATGATCATTGTCGTGAGTTGTACTAGTAATATTTATAAGTGAATTTCAACTTTGGTAGAGGTAAAGATTTTGGTAAAAATTTACCAAAACTGGATAAATCAAATAATGCAGTTAATACTCTTTCTGTGTATAACAAAGTTATGTTTCCAAACGTGTTCAAACTATTGCAAATATTAGCAACTCTTTCGGTTTCGTCTGATTTAAATGAGAGATTATTTTTTACCCTTAAGAGAATTAAAACTTACAAGGGGAACTCCTTATATTAAGATAAAAGTATTAAATATTAAATACTGTTTAAAAAAATTGTATATTTGTTATTCATATTGAATAAAACTTACTTTTTTAAAACAAGGAAGACTTAACGGCTTAGCTATACTATTCATAAATCTTCTTTCCCAAATAACTGTAGAGGAAGTTCTAATGGAACTATCAAACAAATAAACAACGTTTGGAATTTTTATTACAAAATAATATTATTAAGTATTCAATATGTGTATTTAGTTATTTGTAAATATTCAATTGTTTTTAATTTTCTAATAAAATCAGTTTTATAAAATATGATAGTGTGAATTCTGAATATTTTAAATATGGTCTTAGATAAAACGCAATACTGGGGAAAGCGCTCGATAAAAATATTATGTATATAATATTATATAATCCTCTGACACGAATCTTGAAAATGAAGAGTACATGTAGCATATTTTTAATGATCTCTTCTTTAAAAAGATAAATGATTTTGTCGTTGCTTGTCCTTTAAAACCATATACGAAATTCCAAATCATTTTTTGGAAAATAATGTTTGCAAACATTTCTACCACTGGGACAATTAAAAACAATACATTTATCAGAAGACATGTTGAAATTTGTATGCAGGAATCTTGTAATCGATCATTGAATCATTAGGTATTATTTTAATTTCAATGGAACTAGGGAGTAGGGATAAAGAAAATAAATATATAAAAAGACTAAGCTCGTTGATTTAATATGTAAAATGATAAATTTGGTAGGTAATAAGGTATGCCAATATTAATGAACTCCAAATTAAATAATAAATATTATCAAATACTATATATTTTTTTCAACTTTGAAGGGAAATCTAAATTATCGATAAATATAATTTATTTTATTTTGTTTCCAAGATAAACTCTACTAGCGCAACAAGTGACAATTTTTGTAACTAAAGCCAACCTGACCAATATAGAAAGAATAAGTCGTGCATTTATCTATTTTTCCTTTATCTATGCAATGCTTCCGTGTACTTATGGTTGTGGATGGCTTGCTAGTTAAAGGGTTTTATTTGGAACAATGTCATGATTAAAGACCAGATTTAATTGTGATATTGTAACATATTTTGCAATAAAGATAAATTAGATCTAATTAAATATATAATCGATATATACTAAAAATATTCTGCCTATTTAATTTTATACTGCAATTTTTTTAAATTTTTGACTTTTTTGCAATTTTCCCACGTTTTTAAATCATAGGCGTTTATCGTTCGTCTGGAATTTTCTAGAAGATTGGAGAGCCCAGCGAGCGATATGCGTCTATATATGTATATATATATATATATATATATGGTGGTAATTAAATTTAATGTAGTAGTACAGTGATTCATGTGCTTAAACCAATTGGTACCTTAGTATCTATTTCTTTAATCAGTTTGACCGTACAGTGAAAGTATTCAACGTAATGCCTAAAATAAAATCAACTTTAAAAAGTAAAATTTCGAATCGAATTACTTATAATTCAAATATATTTGAATTATTATTATTGTTAACGTTATTGTAATTATTATTAGGACTGGTCCAATGTGTGCGGTATAAAAAAAATATAAACCATATTATGCCCCAGTGGAGGATTTTCAAAATTTTTCTGAGGGGAGGGGTCCTAAAAAATAAAATGTATTTCAAATATATTATTTTTATTTTTATAAAAACAATTGTTTACTGAATTTTTATTTTTGAATAGTGTTGTTACATTGAGAATATTGTTTCCTACAGAAATAGTGGAAAAATCGTAAGTAAACTCACTATTGCATGATAACCGATTATCAAGGATTAACGTTATGGAGAACGATTGTTGAAAGGTGTCAAATAATAATTATTTAATATATATTAAATTAGTCGATTTGTTTAGGACATACACAATAACACAGGAAAATATTTGAATTCTTAAGTTTATTGTTTACCCAATATAAATTATTTATAGTTAAATATTTAAATAGTTGAAACATTATTCAATTATTATTGAATGGTATGAATTGCCGACTCAATGGGTTTCTGGTCCAATATGCGGACTGGGCCCAACTAGTTAAATCGTAGGAGGTGGCCCACCCCCTATACCCACTCTTTGGTACGGCCTTGCTTATTATTAAAACAAACAATTTTTCAATTATAATTGCAATACCTATTTCAGAAATGTCTGGGGTATCAATAAGTCGTATTAATTCAAAGCTTTTTCCTTAACTTAATCATTTGTTTTGTGAAAATACCTTTGCGAGGTTTAACTAACCAAGGTACCAAGGTACCAAGGTACCTAACCAGTACCTAACCAAGTGTGACTCCTTGCGACTCTCAGTTTATATATCATAGATATTATTACAATTTAAAAAATGTATGCAATATTGATAGTTAGAATTTAGAACCAAAAAATAAAATGTATGAAAATCATCTCTTTTGATCTTTTATCTTTGTATAGATAAATTCACACATATTATCTTATATCTTTATCTACATAAATTCCCTACACTAGTCGCAGGGTATACATTGACGCCCCTATTATTTTCCATGTCCTTTTGGTCCGTTGTTTATTATTTTTTTTTATGGCTTACCATATAGCTAAATGCTACTTGTTTGATTAGATACCTAATGGATATCATTTGCATATATGTATTCCTCGTGAAATTATTGTATATTGTAAATAAAAACTATACAATTTAAAAGGTATATCTTTAAATTAATTAAAAATATTGTGCCTACCTAAAATATTTAATGGCTTATAAAAGCTAATAATGAGCAAAACAAGACCAAGACTAAGACTAAGGCAATCTTGATCTTCGACTTGTTCTTGCAGATCTAATCTTAGTTACAAATATGAGTATTGGTTTTAGTCTTGATTTTGCTACAAGACTTGAAATCTTGCAATCTGAATCTTGCTCTTTTTACAAAGAAAATTATATATAATTTTTTTTCTATTTTAACATAAAATTTTTAGCGCAATAAAAACCTGTATAATTCAAATTTAGAAGATAAAAACTGGAATGTAATTGTTTGGAATTGTAAATTATTACATTTAAAGAGATTCTAGTCAATCATTTTCTAAAGGAGTAAGAATTTGTGTGCGTGTGTGTGTTATACTTAGCTGACTGCTATTAAACTCAATATGTATTGTGTATTATTTGTTTTGCTTGAATAGGTATATAGGTACATAGGTATATAGGTACATAGGTATATAGGTACATAGGTATATAGGTACATAGGTATATAGGTATATAGGTATATAGGTACCTAACCTACCTATATAAATCGTAAACATTACATTTTATGAATTCGTCAACGTTTTGAATATTCCAACTTTTAGCTTTTAAAATGTAAAATTTCAGATTTATTTGTATGTAGATTGTACAAATTTTTAAATATTAAATTTAAAATTTTATACTCTCCAAATTTATATAGTTTAGAATTGTTTATTCCAGATTATTACCGTCTGTTACATTTCAGATTTTTATTCACTTCCCAAATTGTATTATTTATCCTTATATTTCTTTTGGTTTGTCAATTTATTTACTTATTTACCAGCATAATTAAACTTCTAAGTTCCGAATATATTTAATGTTTATGATAAATATTGGTAGGTGAGAAAGACGAGAGAAGATAAAATAAAGGACGAATATATAAGATGTAGCTTAGACATGTTTTCCATAGTAAACAAAATGGAAGAAGATAGACGATTTGGACATATTACTGGGAGTGAGGAATCTGAAGTAGTAAAATTGTAATGAAATGAGGTGACTGAAAAAAAAGGTGGTTAGGTACGATAGAGAATAATATTAGGACAGCCAGAGTATGTGATGTGGCTGATCACAAAAAGTTGGGATACAGACAAAGGAGAAGAAGTTAGACAATAAACAGACAAATTGAAAAATAAGAAAACAATTTCAGGAACTGGGTTAGCAATATAATAATAATTATAAATTAACATTTATTAGAGCAATAGAACATTTTGGAAATCGGTTAAAAAATACATATCCAGGTGCTGGGTAGGCAACTAGTTTAACCGTTAGTAATTCAATTTCAGGAGTTATAGAAGTAACATTGTATACAAAATTGGGAACCACTGGGCATGATTCTATTTTAATTGTTGAACGTTGAAATTGAAACCACGACAGTACGAATACTATAACAGGTATATTATTTAAAAAAAATTAATGGTTTGTGAACCTTTCTGTCTTATTAAACATAATAAGTTATTCAGTATTAGAATTACAACACAATCTGTCATATTTTGTTGTCATATAAATTGATAAAATAATTTGAATGATTGATAAGCGAAGTGATAACCGAGTGATCGAACCGTTAACCACATTGGACCATAATTTTACTACCACACTGGTTTCTTTGGGGCTATCCTATATCTATTATTTATGATTATAATTTCTTAGTCTATAGTATTAATTATTTTCTCCGTATACGTGTATTGCGTCCTTTGTTGCGTGCATGTGTTTGTTCTATTCTGTCGCATTATTATTATTATTATTATTATTATTATTATTACTAATAATTACTGCAACTGTTGAATATTTTCAAACTGATTAATAATTTTCACCCCCGCCGTCATTTCACTAACGTGCAGGAATTTTGCCAAGCTATTTAGACGGAATATCTAGCGCCAAGTTCGTTTCACATTTTTTGCAGACAAATATTATTCTCATCGAAGTATTACGTACATAGGTAAAACTGTTATGATACACAATTGCATTTCTTACACTAATATTTTAGCTTTTTTTTTTGTATATAATATATCATACAACTAACACAGTTTTCCTTAAATTATTTTTACACACACCCACCCACATATAATTTAATATTTTACTCATTACTATTTTTAAGTACCTTCTTAAATGTAGTAATACCTGTCATTTTTAGTTAAATTTGAATACTTCATACTTCCACTATCTATTAAAAACTGCTCCTATGAAATTTCACTGCATATTATTCATGAAATCATAATGTAGTTATTTAGCTACATTAGTGGATTCTTTAAATTTCAATTTCGTTACCTAGAGCTTTGTTTTAAAATATAAAAACATTGAAATTATTTTAATTATTTTAAAAACTGTACTTTGAATAGAAATTTTTGATATAAGTATTTAGTTAAAATCAAAAATACTTATTGTATAAATATTAAGTTCCAAACATTTCATTCCCTTCCTAATTATGTAGACAGTAATATAGAATATAAGGATTACAAAGAAAAACCAAAAAATTACCTTCTAAATCCAGCAGCTTCACAAACTTATCTACTAAAAATCGTTTTTTAATTAGAGCAAGATTTCTGATAAACAAGTTGTTAATAAAAAAAAAACTTTAGTAAAACCAAATGCACCATAAAAACTTTAAAGTAATATTAACACCATTTAGTACTAATAGAACTAATGCATTTTTTAATGAACTGATAGAAAATTTAATATTTAAATAAACTTTACTTTTAATTTTGTAATATATTTATTATTAATAATTATTGTAAAATTGTTAGTTTTATTGATAGTTTATTTTTGTAGAATGATGAAAAAGCGTAGTTTTGCTGGTAATGTAGCCCTTGCCTTGTTTGTTTTGGCTTCAGTGTTTGTGTTTATTGCATTTTTCTCAGCAAGTTGGTTAGTCAGTGATAGCAGAATTACAGGTATTCACAGATTTTTGTATTTTAGACTATTTATTTTATTATGATTGATTTTTATTTAAAAATAGGCTCACAATTAGAACGTTTTGGACTATGGACTCACTGTTTTCGCTCATTACCAGATCCAACGGATTTAGCAGGACAAAGGGTTTTTGTCGGATGTCACTGGATTTTCGATCCTTTCACCAAAGGATACAATAAAATTAGAGGATTTTTACTACCATGTAATATATAAATATAATATACCTTTGATAAGTATGTTAAAATTGTAAATACCTTTATATGTGTTGCAGTTTATATAGTGGCAACTCAATTTTTTTACACAATCACATTCCTAGGAACATTGTTATCCACTGTTGGCTCATTGATGTTTCTTTTATGTTGTATGCCCGAAGATAAGTATTTCATACAAATAAATTTTGTATTGGGAATAACATTAATTGTATCTGGTAAATTGTATTTCTATATTTTTAGCATAAGAACATAATATGTATTTCTTAGAATTAATAATGTATGTATACATGCTCACCTAATTTGTTGGGTTAAATTATGCATGTATTAGAATTCTGATTTTTGAAATTTTTAAGTGATTATATTTTTGTATATTTAGATTTTTCTAATAAAATTCTATATTGAAAATTCCAACAATAGATGAAATATTAGATAAAATACATTTTGGTATTAAAATTTGTAATTTCTGTCCACTTGGTCAAGAGATATTCCTCTTTTAAGTATTTAAATATATCAATTTTAACTACATTTAAAAATTCCTGAAATCAGAATTTGCATTTATACATAATTTAAAAATGGGGTAAGCAATTTAATGAATCACCCTATATATATGTATATACATATATAAGGTTGGCCCTTATTTATAGAGAGGGAAAAAATTTAATTTTTTTTGATTTCTCACCCTTCCATATGTTTTTTTATTATAAAAAACTAAGTTTTAAAGATTTTTGAAAAATTTTAAAAATATTCCACTTAGCATAAAAATGTATACAGATCAAAATATTTTCGAAACAAAATTTTAATATAATTATAATATTTCTCCTAAATCTATTGTTTCCTAAGACATAATAGAAGTTTCGTTTTTATATAATATAGATACTATATTTGAAAGTGTTCCATGACAGTTAACATTATTGAATGTAATTAGTGTTATGATATTACCTACTCTAATATTGTTTTATTTTGAGAAATTCTATACTAAAGCTGATTGCTATCTTTCTAACTTAAAAATAATTATATTAAATCTATTTTAATCATCTGTTAGATATGAAAATATTACAGTTGTATCATTACATATTATTTTACTCATCCACTACTCTACTTGTTTTGAAATAAGTAAATTGTTTTATAAATCAATAATAATTAAATACAATGACTTCATCATCATTACAATGAAATGTATTTAGTTGGAAATGTGAACAATAAAATTATTGGCAGTAAGTTACCTGCTACTAGCTAATTTTTGAGTGTACTATTTTATGTCAAATTTAATTTATGAGAAAGTGTAACATAAGTTTATAAAGAAATATTATTATTTTGGCAAAAAGCGAGGATTCCAGTTCAGGATGAACAACATATGGAACAATTAAGTAAATTTCAACAGACATAGTTCAAAATTAATTTATTATAGTTTGAGATAGGAATAGATGATGTAGTTGTAAAATGTACTGTTGAAACAAATAGATCTGAAATTATAAATGTCTATTTTAAAAATAAAAAATAAACAATGTAGTGATGATTACAAAGAACTATTGACATTTTCTATTATTCTACTATTATATGTATTTCTGGACCCAAACCATCAAATGGTATATCCTTTTGTTATTGAATGTCTCGTAATTGAATTCCAGTTTAATAACTTTATATGTTTAAAGAAATTAATTAAATACGTAGATATTATAATTTCTATGGCAGTTGTGCATAGATTATGGTCATTTATGGTATCTCGTGCCTGATAATATCTTATTATAATTTTTTTGATTCTCGTGTGTCAACTTTAATTAAAATAAAAATGATTGAAGTAAATGGACACATAGTATTGATATTGATGATACAATTAATAAAAAAACATTAGTATTACATAGTGAAGATATAGAAATATTTTAAAAGAAAGAACTTTATGAATTTAAATCTTTTGAAACAATCAAATGTTTTTCAAGATTTAAAATATCATCCTGATATTTGGAATGAAAGAGGCAATTTTTAAAAAAGAATCAGTAACTAAGCTATCCGGCATGTACGTTGAATAGTATATTGAGAAGGACAAAGAACACAAATAATTTTTGTTATGTATTTTAAATGATTACAATTTATAAGACAAATTATCTAAATTGTTGTAAAAACACGAGACATTAATTAATACATAAAAGTTATAGGATTTTTATTTAAATGTAACATAAACCGTATTTGCTTTTTATACACTTGTTATTGCTTTCATCAATATTTAAAAATATTTTGTATTTTAAATTTGATGTAATTTAATTTAATTTTCCTTTTTATGTTATGTTATCATAACATCAATGATTTAGCAGATATATTTAAAAACTTTATTTTTCAATATTTTATTATTTTTCTTGAAAAATAATGGATTTAGGAGAAATATTGTAAAAAAGTATTTTAGATCTTTAATTAAGATATAACAAATTTGTATGTTAGATGCAATGTTTTTTAAAGTTAAGTACCAAAAACTCTAAAACTACCCTGTTTGGCAATTTTCAAAGCTCTTGTGGCACATGAAAGGGGTATGTTACAATCATCAAATTGCAATACAAATTAGTATTTTATCCAAAAATATAAAAAAGTGATATATCAAAAAATTGTGAGTTCAAAAATAAGGGTATATGTAATATATATACATTTTTTTTTTAATTTAGGTATATGTGCTGCTCTAGCTGTGTTAATATTCGCTTTGTTTGCTAATCAACCAGGGTGGATGCCTGGCCATGAGAACAACTATTTCGGTTGGGCATTTGGTGTAGCTATTGCAAGTTTCTTTGCTTTACTGGCATCTGGAGGTTTATATTTGGTTGAAAAAAATATCCAAGTTAAGAAGCGAAACTGTTTGAAAGAATCACAAACTAAATTTGACTTGGAAACCATATAATAAGTTTACATTTCTATTACACAATTTTCAAAACTAACCTAACCATGCACCTTAGGTTTACATATAATTCAATGTTTTTAATATGAATATTCAGTGTTTAGTAATTTTAATTGTTTATGTTGTAATTTGCATTAAAACAATTTTTAATTTTAAACTGGTCATACTGTATTATACTATTACAATAACTCAAATACTGTAATACACTGTAAGTAGGTATCTAAAATATTTAAAGTTTTATTAAATAACAATGTCTATTTAAACCAAGTTTTATTATTTAACAGTTTGTTAATTAAATAATTTATGTTTATATACATTTTTTTTAACTTTATTATTTAGTTATGAATGTATAGTATATTTTAACTTTTAAGTCACATTTAATCAGCTTTATAAATAAAATCTGCAAAATACTTAAATTTAAGAAATCTTTAAAAATATTAACTATAGATTTTAAATTTAAAAAATGATAAATTATTTTGTTATAAAATTCAGTTTAAGAACATCATGTGAAATACAATATCCATACCACTAATTTTAATTTTCCTTGTGCAATCTACTTTGAGATTTGTATGCTGATAATTGTTTAATTGTTTAAAATTTGAATTACACCCTATCCCCTAC